CAGCGATCGAGACCCGAAATTCACGTCGAAGTTCTGGCAGGAGACGTGGGCACTGTACGGGACCCGCCTGCAGTTTTCGTCGTCATACCACCCGCAAACCGACGGTCAAACGGACCGGACAAATCAGACTATGGAGCAGTTAATTCGCACGAATCGCCCCGACATCACCAAATGGGAAGATTCGCTCGCCATGCTGAAGTTTGCGTACAACAACGCCCCGTCTGCGACGACTAATCAATCGCCGTTCTACCACAATTACGGGATAAATCCCGTAGTACCCACTTCCATGACCCCCGACAATCCGGTACCACGATCGCAGCAGTTCGTCTTTGAACTACAAGCGGCTCGCGACAAAGCAGCAGAGTTTATTCGAAAGGCAAATAATGTTGCCAGCCGCTACGTCGACAGGCATCGACGGAACTTACCCTTCCGCGATGGGCAGATGGTCCTACTGGACACCAAGAACCTTCGTCTGCCCCAACCCGCAAAACTGCGTCCCCTCTACATGGGACCCTTCCGCATCATTTGGATGTTGACCCCGGTCACGGCGAAATTGTTGCTACCCGACGTCTGGAAAATCCACGACGCCTTCCACGTCAGCCTGCTCTGCCACTGCGTGGCCCCGCAGTCGTCAGACATCGCCCGCCCCAACATCGCGCCAAGTGTCCGGCCAGTAGCAGACCCGACACTGCAACCCTGGAAGACTTTGAATCATCGCATCCGTGTGACCCCGACAGGACGCCACGTCGAGTTTCTACTACGCTGGATGGATCGCACAAGTGAAGATGACACGTGGGTCTCAGCTTACTCACTGCAAGGCCACTCAGTATTACGGGGTTATCTTTCCCGCCTACGCGTGCCCGATATTGACCACCTTTCTTAGAGGGGGGGGGGTAGTGTAAGGAATTTTCCGTATTCCTTACTGAGGCACCCTATGCGCGTACAATTCCAAGTTTTTGGAATCCAGGCTCGGCCCAACGACCTCGCCTTCCGAACGTCCCTCGCGTCGCCTTCGGGTTTCCCAACCCCAAACCTGCACCCAACCTTGCGCGGTCCCGCGACCTCGGCCTACCTAGCCCTCGCTATATTTACCCTAGGCCTCGCTATTCATTCAGTAGTTGTAATCACTTCCGCGATATTGCATTCTGCGCACTCTTCATTCGTACAACTCATAACATACTATGTAGGTTCGTATATGGCTTTGTGCGATGTAGTTGGTGGTGAACTAGAATACACAGTGCGCGAAAAACTATTGAAACACACAGCTTTTCTTTTCCACTGTAGCTGAATGCGACTTCACATAAGCCAACAGCTACGCATTGTGCCAGCTGGGCTTTTGTAACCAATTGTGTTCCAGATCCCAATATGCTCGAATCTCTTTGCCCCTGATGCAGAAGTTTTGGGAAAAGTGCAGTATGAGACTCAGATTGCCACTGCGCATTTTCCACACAGCATACCTTCATGTTAGAATAGTAGCCTTAGTAGACTAGGGTTTGGGGTAGCGTGAGCGAGAGAAACGGAAGAAGAGGGCTTACACTAATGAGCAAGATACATGATATAGTTCAAGGGAAGGTGAGCACAGTGGTGCACCACCAAATAGTTAAGAACAATAACTGCAGTAACTACAGCACGCAGGATATATATTAAACAAAAGGGAGTCTGGAAAGAAATGTTCAGGGTGTGAAATTATCGCAGTTTTGGTGTACTGAGGCAATGTTTCAGATTCACTGCGTCGGTGATTTTTCCCCGCCCGTGAGTTTTGGATTTGGTTGGAACCTTCCACCATGTCCTGGTGAATTCACCATGCATTTGATGGCTGCCCTCTCAGTCCAGACTCGACTTTGTTGGTTGGTGCTTGGAGTCAATAACGTGAAGGGTTCGATGCCCACAATGAAAAAATATAAGCTGGAGTACTGCCGCAGCCCGCCCAATCTAACCCGAGATTTTGAAAGGGCTTGGGCGGCATGTTTCGTCTAAATTGAGCACTGGAGCTCCAACGGTGTTTTGATCTGGACAGAATTTCGTGGGCCGGCGTAGTACCAATCTACTAGCGCTACCCTTTCTGACCATGGAACTCCAACGTATCTAGCCAGAGGGGTAGCACAGCTGTGTTACAAACAGAAGTAGACAAGAGATTAAGACCGGAACATCTGAACGTCTCGCAGGTGCCAATCGGGTGTATCGGGATGGTTTTATGCGGCGGTTTCAGCGCTATACCGCTGTGGAGAAATTTCATCATCAAGAAATTATGCAGTGAGTGAGTGCACACAACCATCCAAGCGCAAGTTCCAAGCACCGCCCTTGCACAAATCAACAACGCTGCAAGGTGCAGTGTAGAGCAGGGCTATTGCTAGGATTTTTGCTAGCTCGGACGATCCGGGCCCCTGTGAAAAAGACCCTGTAAAATCCGAGCCAGCGGAAAAAAAACCTTGACGAATCCGGGTTCGAGCCAGAAAAGGCCTGAAAGCCTACCTTACCAGAATCTCGCGGGATGGGGAAATGATCGTGAAACTCACAGTGGGTGGCACGAAGGCTGGGAAGGTTGGAGATTTAAGAGCGGCACTAGAGGGAGGGAGAGAGACTTTCTGTAGACTTAGAAATTTCTATATGTGGAGGAGTACTAGTAGCCACGTCAACGCAGTACCGGAAATCAAACACCTGAAGGCCAAACCAGGAGCAAATGCCAAGGATTATTCACTGAAAGTGGCCTATGCGTTGTACACGGGGAGAGGGAGGGGATGCGAAGCAGATCGGGGACTATAAGTGTTGCTAAAACTTTCCGGGTCCCCTCGAAAACATCCCGGAGTGATCCGAGTGGGCTCAAAAATCGCCCTTCAGGTTTACGGGCTGGTCCGAAAATCACCTTGTGAAAATCAGGGCTGCTCTAAAAATCACCTTATAATTTCAGTCAAAACAGGGTAATTGCCCTTATAACATAGGCCCTGGTGTAGAGCCTGCATTTCTCCTGCATCTCAGTAGATTGCCCATTCTTTTTTGGGTTTTTAGTTATTTCGGAAGGGGTACTTCCGACCCTGCGCTTTCTAGGGAGCTTCATCTCTACCTGCACAGAGTTTCCCAGGTTTCGACGCCCAGGCAGAAGACTTATTGGGCTGGGACAGAACTCGGCTCCACGTTTATCCACGTGTCAGTCACTGCGCATCCCAACCACTGCTGCTGCACACAGAGAAACAGTGCGCAACCGCTTTTGTTATTTTCTGCCGAGCCAAAACCACGTTCTGGGTGGCTCGGCACCTCACTGTTTCGATATCTGGGGGAGATCATTTTCGCGCCCAAACTCCGTCCAGTAACACACGCCAGAGCGCCACTGCAAACGGAAACGACCTCCGTCTAGTACAGTGACGTCAGTTGCCGTCAAACGACGCTAATACCTCGCCATAACAGAAACGCGATTTTGTTTTAGGGTGAGTTGATTGAAAAAAAACTTAGCCAGTATTTTCAGAAGATTGCATCTGGCCTTATTGAATGAATTTGTTAAACAATGTTACCGTTCAAGTATATCTAGAAGATTACATCAAGCCTTATTGATTTAATCTGTTAAAAAATGTTACCATTCAAGCTCTTTGAGATTGCATGTGGCCTTATTAAATTAATTTGTTCAACAATGTTTCCATTTAGGGCCTTCTTGGTTCCTTTTGATCTAATATTGAAACAAACAACTTGCTTTTGAGGGGACGAATCATCGTGCAAGCTGCAAAACCCTAACCCATTAAACAAAATGGCATAATCTTGCGTGGATTTAGAGTCTTGTAGTATTGTCAACAAGTGTAGACACAGGGTGCTAGAGTTTAGAAGCCTTTAAATATCTCTGGGCGTTTCAGAACACATGATATCATTTTCACACATATGTTATTATGTGTACTCAGTTTCACTTCTAACCGTGATGTTATATTATTATTATATTTGTGAAGTTAAATTCTCACAAATAAGTTATTCTGTGGACTTAAACGCCCATGAATGTTTAAAGGCTTAACACGTAAATACGTAACACTATGTTTACAAATGTAGACAATACTACAGGACTGTAAATGCATGCAAGATCATGCCATTTTCTTCTATAAACCCGGCTTTTGTAACTTGCACGATGTTTCGTCCCTTTAAATGAAATTTGCGTGTTTCAATTTTAGAGGAAAAGGAAACTCAATAATGCCCTGAATGTTAACACCGTTTTACAAATTAATTTAGAAAGGCCATATGCAATCCTAAAAAATAATGGCTAAGTTTCTATTATATTCAAATTAGCCTAAAACTAGATCGCGTTTCTGTTATGGGGAGCTATTAACGTCGTTTGACGGAGGTTGAAGTCACTGGACTAGACGGAGTTTATTTCCGTTTGCAGTGTCGCCCTGGCGTGTGTTACTGGACGGAGTTTGGGCGCGAAAATGATCTCCCCCAGATATCGAAACAGTGAGGTGCCGAGCCACCCAGAACGTGGTTTTGGCTCGGCAGAAAATAACAAAAGCGGTTGCGCACTGTTTCTCTGTGTGCAGCAGCAGTGGTTGGGATGCGCAGTGACTGACACGTGGATAAACGTGGAGCCGAGTTCTGTCCCAGCCCAATAAGTCTTCTGCCTGGGCGTCGAAACCTGGGAAACTCTGTGCAGGTAGAGATGAAGCTCCCTAGAAAGCGCAGGGTCGGAAGTACCCCTTCCGAAATAACTAAAAACCCTTCTTTTTTAGGAACCACCAAACCATAAAGTGGATCTCCCTGCAATGGCTAGCTGTGTTACTGTGCCTTCCACCTATACGAGGTGCTCTGAACCTTGTCACAAGATGCGCTTCTTGTTTAGCCCTTCCAAACCGAGGATATTTTTTTTTTTTTTTTTTTTCCAATTTACACGAGGCGCTCTGAACCTTGTCAGAAGATGCGCTTCTTGCTTAGCCCTTTCAAACCAATTTTTCCATTACTTTGATCAAGGGAGCACTTCAAGAGTCCTCTCTTTGTAGATCTTAACCTATTCGAAGGCTAACCTTTGAAGAGTCATGGCGGAATTTCGACTTCAAGGGTGCGTCTGTCTGTTTTTTTCTTTCTTTCCTTTTTTCTTTCCTTTTCTTTTCTTTCCCTATAAACTCTAACTTGTGAAATTTCTCTGCTTTGATGTGGGGATGAATTATGTACGAAAATGCAGGCTCACGTCTCCTCACTCGCATTGGTGTGTATTCATATCATGGTGGCAGATCTGAAATCGATGGGAACGAGCCACCATCCATGCACCTTCCGCTTGATCAAGCGGTGCCGATTCGATCGGATCCGGTCTCAGCGCTGGCGAAATCTTCCGTCATTCACACATCATCATCGTCAGACCGAGGCGGGACTCATCATGCCGCCAATATTGCAACCGGAGTTTACTATAACGCTGGCTCCGGTACCCTACTGAGCTCGGGACAGCAGCGGCTCGGCTTTTCCCAAGGATGGAACTTAAACGTGGATGGTGAATCAGGGAACACGACTGCATCAAGATCTGTTCCATGTGATCCTTACATGATGCTGGGTTCCTTATATGATCATCATTCTGCTGATCATGATCGTGATGACAATAATCATTCTTATGATTATAATTATCATGATCACCATGATGACTTTCCTCTAGAAGCTTCTGCAGCTAGAGCTATGCCTGACGGGAGAATGCTGCAGCAACGACAATATCCGACTGCGGCCGCTGCTGCCACGGCGGCATGGCGGCCGGCGTCTTTCACGCAGGTGCTGCGGTCGATCTCTCCAGCGTATCAGCTCAGGCGCAGGGTGATTCCTATTCATCAATTTGGCAACCATCATCAAGAGCAAGTCATGACTAATGATGATCCGGAGGCGGGAGGTACCAGCGGCACCACCAGTCATGCCAACCATGTGCATGATAGCAATCATGATGACAATCAAGATGATCATAATCATGAAGATGATCGTGTTGGTAATCATGACGAGGGTTTGACACCAGGAATGGAAGAGGATAGTGATGAGCAGCAGCAGCAGCAGCAGCAGCAGCAGCAGCAGCAGCAGCAGCAGCAGCAGCAGCAGCAGCAGCAGCAGCAGCAGCAGCACCACCAGCAGCACCAGCAGCAGCTTCCGCAGCAGCCAAGCAGCGCGTCAATGCTGATGCTGCAGCTCTACCGGAATCCTGGAGCGTTCCCCACTGGCAGGGACCATTTCCCCTCAACCGTCTCCCAAAGACAGCATTTCTTCTCCACCATCCCCCAGCAACAGCAACACCCGATGTCCTTGCACGATCCACGTGCCGCGTCTTATCATCCTAATCACTCCATTCCTCACCCACCAGGCCAGCTCTTCGCCCCAGCTGTCTACTCGGGCGCTGCAGCAGCACACATGGTCCCAGGAGCAGCATCTACGGGAGCAGCAACTCCTCCTGTCGAGGCAACTCAGGATGTTTCTGCACGCGCAGCTGCAGCAGCACACATGGTTCCAGGAGCATCATCTACGGGAGCAGCAACTGTTCCTGTTGAGGTAACCCAAGATGTCTTCTCACGTACAGTTGCGGCAGCACATGCGGTCCCGAGAGCAACAACTGTTCCTGTCGAGGCAACCCAGGATGATTCTGCACGCGCAGTTGCGGCAGCACACGCGGTCCCAGGAGCAGCATCTCTTGCTGCTGAGGCTACACAGGATGTTTCCGCACTCGCAGTTGCAGCTCGCGGCGAGGTTCTGGAAGCACCACTCCCTGCATCAGAACGCCACCAGCAGCAGCCAGCTGCCTGTTCCCCTGAGATTGCACTTCCTGCTATGTTTCAGCCTGGAGGTCTAATTGCTTCATCTGCAGCAGCTGCTGCTAACATGGGGCCCATTCGCGGAATGGGATCAGCTGCTGGTGCAACAGCTGTTTTTCAACTGCTCAATTATCAGCTGCCCGGTTTTCAGGTGCCCGGGAGGCCTCTCCCTCCGCCACCTGTCATCACACACACATGGGCGGGGCGAACGTTGCCGCAGCCTGCTGCCTCCGCCTGCCCCCCTGCTGTCACAGCTGGTACCATCCCCATAGACTTTGTTCAAGCTCCTGCTCCTGGCAATGGCTCGTTTGAGGATGACTCAGTATCTGCATCTTCATCATTTCCGTACCCTGGGGATGTAGGGTTCGGTGGAAACACTATTGTAAGTGGTGCTGGTGGTGGTGGTGTGGCTTCAGGGCATGGCGGCAGTGGAGGAGAAGTAGAAGTAGCAGCAGCAGCAACAATTGGTGTTAGTGCTGCTGCTGCTGCTGCTGAAACTGCAGCAGGTGTGATGGCTGCAGTTTATGGTAGTGGTGACGTTTCTGCTGCACCCCAGGCTGGGGTTGCTGCTGCTGCTGCTGCTGCTGCTGCAGCTGCTGCAGCTGCTGCCACCGCCGCTGAAAGTTGTGGTGGTGCTCTGGAGATGACTGATCACCATGCTTACCGTGCTGACAATGCTGACAACTCCGCTGATTCAGACTCTGCTGCTTCGGCAAGGGCAAGTGGGCAGCGCAGCACAAGCCTGAGAGGTCCAGACCCGTAGTGATGGGGCGGCTCGTTGCAGCACCGCATCCAGTCAGCTCTAGTGGTCGCCACGCCAGCTGCTACGGAGCGTCTTCCTGGCCGACTTGGCTTATGCAGAAGATTCTGACGATCCCGACTCGGCTGCTTCGGCAAGGGCAAGTGGGCAGCATAGCACAAGCCTGAGAGGTCCAGACCCGTAGTGATGGGGCGGCTGAGCGGCTCGTTGCCGCGCTGCATTCAGTCTACCAACATTGCTTCATGTTGTCCGGTCAACTGTGAACAACAGGCGCCAACAGTTTGCAGTACTATTCTGTTCGTTAAAGCAATGCACCTCACGGCACCTCTACAATTTTTTATGTGAGCCTTTAGAGATGAGAGGCCGAGCAAGGCTATGAGTAAGGCAATTATCACCTCTTCAAGAGCACATGTAAATAAATGCTGCTGCTGGGCTACGGAGATGGAGTGTTCTGTTTCATCGCTCGACACCCACCCACCCTCTTCTACAAGTTCAACCTGACAGATTTGGCACACCTTAGACTTGTTCAAAGTTCCTCTGTTAGCAGTAACCCCAACTCACCACCTTCCCGAGTTTAAAGGACTGCACCCTTACCAGTGCTCACTGCAGCCGCCTACTGCAGGGAGAGGCCTTTAGCTTTAGGCAGCACCTGCAGGGGATAATTACAAATGAAGGAAATTTACACTATTGGATATTACATGAGAAACGAACATTTATCAAAACCACGTAAGAAACCAAATAAATGGAACACCATCGAACGCCGGGAAACTGCCCCAGGTCAGCTGCCCCTGCAGGTGCTTCCTCAGGTGGCCCCTCAGGTGTCCCTCAGGTGCAATCAGACACTCCTCCGACGGAAAGCTCGTGCAACGCGCTGCCATTCGTAGGCTGCTGAACAAAAATGGCCACCTTCCTAGTTTCCAGATATCTGCCCCTCAAGTGCCACGTCAGGTGCCTCGTCAGGTGCCTCGTCAGGTGCCCTCAGGCATCCTCAGGTGTCCTCAGGTGTGCGCCTCAGATGTCAAACTGATGCAGCACGTTGCCATCTGTGGAACGCCCACCAAAGATGTTGAGTTTTCCTGCATCGAGGTTGAAGAGCGTGCTGTGGAGCGTGTGGATTACCGGGCCTGGGGATATGAGAGGCAGGCAAAGAGGAATTGGAAGAAGGGAGAGAGGTGAGTGGTGCTCGTGGGGACAACTGGCACTGCGTATCTGGCATCGAGGTTGAAGAGCGTGCTGTGTAGCGTGTGGATGACCGGGCCTGGAAATACTAGGGTTGGGGAAAGAGTGTGAGATGCTTGCAGGGGGGATGGGACAAAGGAGATTGTCAGTGATTGTGACACCCACACACAACCACACTTACACACCCACACCCACACCCACACAACCTCCTTGTACACCCTTGCACCGCACTGGATGACTCACCTCCGATTTCAAAGGGGTTTCCGTCATTGAAGATGGGAAACTCCTTGTCGTCTGAGTTGGATAGGATCTGGTGGGAGGGAGCAAGAAGTTAAAGGAGAGGAAGGTGCGGAGGGGAGCAGGGCATGAGAAGTGCTTGCCCCTGATTGAGATAGGATACTGCTTGTCGTCTGAGTTGGACAGGATCTGGTGGGAGGGAGCAAGAAGTGGAAGGAGAGGAAGGTACGGAGGGGAGCAGGGCATGAGAAGTGCTTGCCCCTGATTGAGATGGGATACTCCTTGTCGTCTGAGTTGGATACGATCTGGTGGGAGGGAGCAAGAAGTGAAAGGAGAGGAAGGTACGGAGGGGAGCAGGGCATGAGAAGTGCTTGCCCCTGATTGAGATGGGATACTGCTTGTCGTCTGAGTTGGATAGGATCTGGTGGGAGGGAGCAAGAAGAGAAAGGAGAGGAAGGTGCGGAGGGGAGCAGGGCATGAGAAGTGCTTGCCCCTGATTGAGATGGGATACTGCTTGTTGTCTGAGTTGGATACGATCTGGTGGGAGACACAAGGGGTTGAGTAGAGAGACGAGACTAAGATGTGTGTGCGGTGGCATGGGAACGACAGGACCTAGCGGAATGGGATGGAGAGATGAGAAGTGGGATTGGGGGGGGGGGGGGGTGTGGGAGGGGTGAGAGGGAGGGGGAGATGTGAGAGGGAGGGGGAGATGTGAGAGGGAGGAGGTGTGAGAGGGAGGAGGTGTGAGAAAGTCATAGCTTTGATGTTGCAACCACTGTTTAGCGTGGTATGCCACTGCCACACTCCTCACAAGACTGCAACTCCAGTGCCACTCATTGCTCGTCATAACCCCACTCACCTTGAGCATGCCACTGGTGGTTGAGGGAGCGCACGGGCGTCTGGCAGTGGCCTCTCTGCGGTGGGACCCATCTTCTCACTCTAACCTCAGAACCTCAGTATTGTCACACTCACTGATTGTGCCCACGTCAAGTTCATTCACTAGCCTGTTCTATCCCCCGCTCACCTTGAGCATGTCCTGGGTGGTGGAGGGAGGGAGCGCCCAGGCGTCTGGCAGTGGCCTCTCTGCGGTGGGCGCTGGGACCCATCTTCTCACGCAGCTGCAACCACTCAACCTCAGCATTGTCACACACACTGCAGCCCGTTACAGTCCCACTCACTTTAAGCATGTCTTGTGTGGTTTTCGGTGCGCCCAGGCGCCTGGCAGTGGCCTCTCTGCGGTGGGCGCTGGGGCCCATCTTCTCCTGCAGCTGCAGCCTCGTGTATGCGTTCGCATGGAAGATGTATTTCGCGCCCTCAGCAGCAGCAGCAGCATCACCGTTAGCAGCAGCATCACCGTTAGCAGAAGCAGCAGTGCTAGAAGCAGCCTGGGTTCCCAGCTTAGGGTTTGGGCCCAGCTCCAGGATGCTATGCCGGTCGTTGGATGCGGTTTCAACGGATGCGATTCGCCGGTGGGCGAAATCCATCAGCACGTAGTGATGCCCCACTGCCACCGCTGGGTCAGTCACGCGCTGCCATGTGGCATGTGTTGATTGGGAGTGGGGTGTTGGGGGGATGGAGAGAAGGGATAGAAAGGGGTTAGGAGGAGGAGAGGATGGAGGGGTGGGGAAGAAGAGTAGTGAGGAGGAACGTAGAAAGAAGAAAAGGTGGCATTTGCGGCGATAAGAACAGACTCAAGGAAAACTTAAGTCCCATGGGAAAACCACCACAATTACTACCATACTGAGAGAAAGTACGATGGAAGAGAACGGATTAATTAGACTAGAAAGAAGTGGGGTTTACATAGTTGGAGCTAGAAAGGGGGAACGTAGTCAACATTATTGGCCCCCTCCAACAAGTTGAGTTGGGAAATTATTGGAGGGCCCCAATAATGTTGACCACTCTTGAGTTGGGTCGACATTATTGGGGGGGGGGGGACCAATAAAGTTTCCAATTCAACCTTTGGGGACCAATAATGTGGACCAAAGGTTGAGTTCCAAACCCAACTTGGGGTTAACCTCAGATCACACCTAAACTAAGTTTGGGTGTTAATCTCTAGCCAATCCTTATAGCATGGATGCAAGTTACAAGAATATAATACTTCTAACACATACACCCATGAATATTATCCCCTTTCCCTCCACTCATGAAAGCATCCTGCACCTGCCTGTACCACCTTCCCATACAATCCCACCCGTTCCATTGACACTCGTTACAACCACACCCACTCACCTGCACGGCATCCTGTAGTGACCGCGACTCCTTGAAGCTGCGGGCAACGAAGTTGCGTCCTATCCCTCCATCCACTACTTCTTTTGAGTCGACTCAAAAGTCACTTCTATCCCTCCATTCACTACTTCTTTGGAGGCGCCTGAAATACAGTCACAACCACTCACCTGCACGGTGTCCTCTGTTGACCGCGACTCCACTAGGCTGCGAGCAAAAAAGTTCCCTCCTATCCCTCCCTTGGTCACTCCCCTTACAGTTAACCCTCGTTACAGTCACATTCGTTACAGTCACAGTCACCTGTACGGCATCCTCTATAGACCGCGACTCCATGAGGCTGCGGGCAATGAAATTGCGTCCTATGCCTCCCTTCACCACTTCTGAAGGCGCAGGCGGTACCGCGTCCATTGAGAAACCCTGAGTGGGGAGGGGAAGGGGGAGGAGAGAAGGAGCATGAGAACAGAGACAGCCTGCAACGAAGTTGTGTCCGAACTGTTCCTCCTGTGCACTGTATTGACTATTTTTGAGTCTGTTAGGAACGGGCGTCAAGGCAAGATTTCTCAGAAAACTGTTTGTGACACGCTCATTCCTAACAAACCGTGGCCACGGGGAACTCTCTCCTGAGACGAGGCTTGAAGTGACTTGTAGACAGCTGGCAGCCGCTCTGCTGCTCTCACCATTCTGGCATTTTTTAAGCCAAAGGCCACGGAGGGAAGCTCGCCCGCATAGGTGTATGCGGTGAGGGCAACACCTCTTGAACCCAGTTGCACCAGACAATTGCGCTGCTCTCACCATTCTGGCGTTGTTGAAGCCAAAGGCCACGGAAGGGAGCTCGCCCGCATAGGTGTATGCGGTGAAGGCAACACCGCTGTCGGCATGCATGCGCACCAGGAAGCTGCGAGGAAATGACGCGGGATGCAGAGGAGAGGTGGAAGAAAGGCAGGATGTGGGAAGCAAGGAGGAACATGTGGCTATTCGCGGGCATGGTACAGGATGATTTGTTGCAACATAACATGGCATAGCATAGTATGGGTATGGAATGGCATGGTATGGTATGGCATGACATGGCATGGCATAGTATGGGTATGGCACGGCACGTCGCGTAGTATGTAGTGGAATGGTAATATAGCCACTCACATGTTATCCACGATCGAGTACTAATCGTCACCGTCGTTGTGATTTCTTTGGTCGACTCAAACATTGTCTCATCACAGGTGTGCCACTCACGTGTTATCCACAATCGAGTAATCCGCATCCTCGTTGTGCCCTACTGCTGCCACGTCATCCGAGAGCAGCAACACGTCAGAGCAGTCGTCAGACGTCATGCCATACTGCAGCGCCCTGTCCAACGTGGCAGCACCACCGCCAGATCCTGTCATAGCCGGTGACGCCAGCTCAGGCAGCAGTGCTGACGTGGCAGGCGCATTGAGGGAAGGCAGGAAGGGTCCAAACTCCTTCCGAAGGTTCAGAAGCAGCAGCTGATGTGGAGGGGATGGGAGGTAAGGTACAGCAGGGCAGGCAGGGTAGGGCAGGACATGGAACTATCAGACTCAGTCGGCGTGCAGGGAGGAGGAGGCGGTGAATTCCAAGTCGACCGAAAGAAACTCCGTTGAACAAACCCCATTGCGAGAGCAATGATTGGTGTGGTGTGAGTGGCCACATCATGTGGTCTTTGGTGGACTATTACTAGTAAATCGGCTCACCTCGTCAAAAGGAACGCAGCTGCCGGCCGCCATGCCTCGGAGTTCCTCCCAGTACTCTGGGTATAGCGCCCTGCGGTGGCGGTGGAAAGGGGGAGAAAGGGTGGTGGGGGCGGACGAGGGAGGGGTGCGTGGATCGTTAAGAGGATTTCTGCAGCACCCTGGCACGGAAAATGTTCCCTGGAAAATCTAAGGAAACTGGCTGGACAAGGAAACCTGCTCATTGGGCTCGAAGACCGTATCCAGCATCCGTTGTTATTTCCGCCGAGTCATTTCAATGCCACTGAGAAGTGGCTGACTTGTTGGGCCATAAATTCCCGTGCAGTGACGGGTAAAAGCCGTCGTTCTGAGTCGGAATGAGAGCTCACTTGTTGGACTCGGAAAACATTTCCAGCAGCCAAGCTCCTTCGCCCGTCCGTGCGAACGGAATCATGTCGTCGTGCAGGAACGGAGCCTTGGCGACGCGGTCGCGGATCTTGTCGCCGAATCGCATGCCGATCGCACAGCCGCGCTCGAACGGGCTGCCAGACACCTCGAGCCATTCGAGCGGCCTAGGGATTGCCGACGCGCTGACTGCGCACACGTTCGCTGACGACGTGGATCTGGCTGACGTGGCGCGTACGGCGGTTTTGGCGGAGGGTGAGTGTAGGGTGGCAGATGCGACTGGGTGTCGTACGCCGACTTGTGAGAGAGTCATGATACTTGAGTTTGCGACGATGATAGCTGGAGCCATGGCGAAAGGCAACAGTCAGACTCGACTTTTGGTCAATAGATTACGCAGTGCTCTTGGCAAGAAACTCACGCTACGATTTTTTACAGACTCACAATGACAATGATAATGTACTACGGAAAAAAAAAGCTTTGCAAACAGAAGTCTCTGCTGAGAATACGTGCAGTGATTTTCTCACGACTTTAGTCCAGCCGTTCAAGTACGTTCAGCCGTTTCGCAACGGCTGTTGCTGTTGCGATCAGGCCTGTCACTACAAGGGCAAAGCAAACGACAACCTTGGTTGCGATCAAGGCGCAAGAGGACTGATACTCGCGAAGCGCGCAACTTACTCGCTGCGCTCGCTGGAAGCTGACGGATGCTGTCAGAGAGGACCACGAGGGATGTGAGGTCGCGTCACTTGCTTGGCTTACGTCGATTGTCGCGCTTGCTCGGAACGGTACGGATCTGATGTTCGTCTGAAGTCTAGGGATCGTCGTGGGAAAGTATGGTCTTACAATGGATGAATATCGTCCAATCGTCTATGTCCGTATCAATTTCCCGCCAGATCTAATCGTGTGTTTCAGAGAAACTAATCTGAGTAAGCGTAGGAGAAATCGAGACTACAAGTTGCGAGACACGAGGGAGGGAAGCGGAAGTCCGTTTTCGTTAGTGGGGATGGCATTGATCTAAATGGGTCTGCCGCGACTCGGTAGGCTTAGGGATTTGTTATACAGCTGATCGTGAGGGTGATCGTAGGTCTAACTGTGATTGGCTGTAATTCGGAATTCGGAGTTTAGTGGCCAATCTAGGAGAACTGGTCGTTCCACGAGGGACAATTCAGGGGGACCGTGGTGGAGGAGAGGTCATCCCAAATTCCCAATGCATCTGCAGGAGAAGCTGTTCGGCTGAGCGGGAAAGAGTCACCAGGGCCCTGATCGGTAGCACCCTTAAGCGGGGTGAGTGAGCTTCGACGCAGCTCACAAACTCCCGCTTTGCACGACGGAAGTTTACTCAGTCCGACGTGTCTTACTCCGAGTAACTCAGAAGGGGCAAACGATCGCCCCAACACCTTACACGGAGTACGTCTCGAAGTGGCCATTCAGGAAGGTTCCTTCACGGGCAAACTTAGTCCCGCGGCGGAACTCCACTAACTCTGGGTTCTTGGGAGGGTAAGCCTCGCTTACTCTGAGTAAGCCAACGAAGGGTGAACCCAACAAAGCCGCAAAATTTTTCTTCCACGGGCCATCGTTAACCTCCTAAAACACCTTCAAAATTTTCTTGAATGAATATTGCGTTGCAAGGGATTCAAGAAATGGTTCTGACTGGAGTCAATTCATGAGCCAGTTTCCCCTTTTGTGATAATAATTTTTCTTGGTGACGATTAGGGGCAGCCTGGGCCGAAAGCAACAGTGTTTTGAAGGAAATTGCGCTCAAGGGCCGCGCAACTTCCCTTCACGGAGTTTCAGGGGCGTGCCGATCACCCCTCCGATCTGGGAAATTTACTGAAGGAGGGGGGAAGGCGCTCGTGCCCACTCGTGTGAGCCCAAGCGACAGAAGCTCAAGCCGCTTAAGGGCTACCGATCAGGGCCCAGGAGATGAGTGCCAGCGTGTCGCATTGCGGGAATGATCGCTGCGATGCGGCTCGTTCGGGCAACCACTAGCTAGACCCTGGGTATTGGCGTGGAGGTGGTTGCCAGAGGCCCAGAAGCTCAGGTCAGGAGAAGGACAATAGCCATGTCAGCCTGATGCCACGTCATCGGCATCCACCTAGTGTTCAGCAGACTGGCACGTAAGCTACTGTATTTCTGTACGCTCCAGCAAGGCCGAACTGACCTGGGAATCACCGCAAATAGCGTCGAATCAAACGGAGGCTCGTCAAATTCGACGTCAAATATTTCACATTCACGTCAGCGAAGTCCGCCATCATTTTGGTGTAACAAGCCGTGCTGTGGTGACTGACTGAAGGTGGTGAATGTCGAGAGATCCACCACACATCTCGTCGTCAGCTTGGCTGGAGTCCACGAGGAATAGCAGAGCATGACGTCGAATATGGTAATTCCGATTCAGAATGGTTCGCTTGGCGTTTGCATTGTTCTACGGAATACACCCACATCAGTATTGTCAACACACATCAGTGCTGTCAACTAGTGTGGAGTGCAAACAAATTCAATTGATCATTTTCAGCTCAAATACCACACACATGGCAACAGCACAAAGGTTCCATCCCATATATCAGATCTAAATTCTCTGTAGTCAGCATGATCATGCTCTTCTAACTACGGGTACGTACTTCATTGTTTCACTTCCATACGTCACCCTCCGTGCGCACTTCAGAGGCCTCCACAACCTCCGGTTGTACCGGGGCGCTTGTTGACGAGGATGGTGAAGAAGGGGCGGCGGCAGCAGCTTGAGGAATGGCAAGAGCCATCATCTCATACACGCGCGAGCCAAATTCAGCAGGGTTCTCCGGCTGGTGGAAGCGCAACAGCAAAGAGACGGGGGAGGGGGGGACGGGTTGAGGGTGAGTGTGATGGAGCAGCAGGCGGGCAGAAGCAGGGGCGGCGGCGGCGGCGGCAGCAGTTTGAGGAATGGCAAGAGCTATCACCTCGTACATGTGAGAGCCAAACTCAGTAGGGTTCTCCAGTTGGTTGAAAAAGACATCAAGGAGACATCAGGGGTGGTGCAACAGGTTTCCATCATGATGAACTGGTAGAAATACCCCATGCACATACCAATGAATACAGAATCAACAACGCTTACATGAAATGAAATTACCCTTGGCACATCCCATAACTGACCATGCACATCTCTTAAAAACGAAGAATGCACGTGTCATAGCATCCATACACATCCCGTATCGCAAGTCCACTCACCGGGAATCCCGAGGCAAAGTGCGCCGTCTCATACAGCAGATCCACCAGCTGCCCTCATAGGTTGACTCACCAGCCATTCACTCATCCCACAATGCCACACAAGCACATCCCACACATCTCAAAAGCCATCTTACAAAACCCACTCACCGGGAATCCCGAGGCAATGTGCGCCGTCTCGTACAGCAGGTCCACCAGCTGCCTCGCCTTGGGACTATCCGGTGCCACACTGCTCTGCACCTGCAGAGGGAGGGACCGAGAAGGAGGGGCGGATAGGGAGGAGAGTGGTGGGACGGAAGCAAGGGCGGTGACTGGACTGCGTGTGATGTTCGGATGATTTAAAGCAATTTTTTATCTAGAACAAATAACATACGCATGCAAAACACCACTTCACTTCACTGCAAAAAATAAAAAAGAACGGCCCAGATGGAGTCTCACCTTGAGGTCCTTAATGATCGGATGGTCAGCGTTGATCTCCAGGATCCTCCTGCCCCTCATGAACTCCGCCTGCTGGGGATCGCCCATCGTCTGCGCCTTCATGATGCTGCATGTGGGAGGAGAGAGAGAGAGAGAGAGGGGAAGAGGGTCACGGGGCAATGAGTGTGATGAGAGAGTAGCAGCCAGAGAGCACTAGACTTCTGTTGCCTCCCACCCCTCATGAACTCCACCTGCTGGGGGTTGCCCATTGTCTGCGCACACTGCTTCGACCCTCGTCAACCCTCATCAGAATCAGTTTTGAGACGTCTCATCAGAATCACTTTGATCCTGCGTGACTGTTGAACTCACCGTTCCGTGTTGACCAACCAGCTGAACTTCCCAGCAACCAGCACGCAGGGGGAAGGGGCAATCCGCTGGGCCACCTTGTCCCTCCCTTGACTGCTTTGACCCTCATTACTCTGCACCTCTGCTTGACTCAGCATCTCAACACCTGCACCTTGGCCACCTTGTCCCCCAGAACACCCATCCAGTCACACACGCCCTGAAACTCCTTCTCCTGCTCCCTCTTGTGAGGCGCCTCAAAAGCAACCCTTGCCTCTGCTTGACCCTGCTTGACTCTCATGGACTCAAACGGACACAGCCAGATTGCGGGTGTGACTCACCGCTCCATATTAGCAGACTAGCCGAATTGCCCAGCCACCAGCACGCAGGGGGAAGAGGCAATCCGCTGAGACACCTGCACCTTGGCCACCTTATCCCCCAGAACTCCCTTCATCCAGTCACACACGCCCTGGAACTCCTTCTCCTGCCATTTACTCTGTTTGACTCACCGATCCATATTAGCAGACCAGCCGGATTTCCCAGCGACCAGCACGCAGGGCGAGGAGGCAATGCGCTGAGACACCTGCACTTTAGCCACCTTGTCTCCGAGAACCCCCTTCATCCACTCACACACGCCCTGGAACTCCTTCTCCTGCTCCCTCTTGCGAGGCGCTCTCAAAGGCTACACTTCACTCTGTTTGACTCAGCTAGATTCCGTGAGACTCACCGTTCCATATTAGCAGACCAGCCGAATTTGCCGGCCACCAGCACACAGGGAGACGAAGCAATGCGCTGGGACACCTGCACTTTAGCCACCTTGTCCCCCAGCACGCCCTTCATCCAGTCACACACGCCCTGGAACTCCTTCTCCTGCTCCCTCTTGCTCGCCTCGTCCTCATCCCCCAGATCCAGATCCTCCTTGGAAATGTCCACGAACTTGAGGTCCTTGTAACTCTGTAACGTGGTAACCGCAACCTCGTCGATCGGCTCAACCAGGAAGAGCACTTCGAGCCCCTTCTGGTTGAGCTTCTCCAAAAACGGCGCCGACTTCGCGCTGCGAACCGTGTCCGCCGCAATGTAGTAAATCTCCTTCTGCCCGTCCTTCATCCGGGCTGTATAATCCTCCAGGGAGATCAACTCGTCCTCGGATTTCGACGAGAAGAACCGGAGGAGCGGAGCGAGGCGCTTGTGGTTACCAGCATCTTCGATGCACCCGAGCTTGACGTTGCGCCCGAAGCTCTGCCAGAAGGTGGTGTAGTCGCTGCTGGGCTTGCCGTCCGCGTCCTTCCGGGCGGCGACGTCGTCCAGCATGTCAAACACCTTGCGCACGAGGCGCTTGCGCATGATGCGGACAACGCGGGACTCTTGGAGGATTTCGCGAGAGACGTTGAGAGGGAGGTCGTTGGAATCGACCACTCCCTTGATAAAGGCCATGTAGCGTGGGAGCTGGCGACAGGGCAGCGGAGAGAGCAGATCGGGGAGGAGCCAAGGGGAGGGAGAAGGGGAGGGAGAAGGGGAGGGAGAAGGGGAGGGAGAAGGGGAGGGAGAAGGGGAGGGAGAAGGGGAGGGAGAAGGGGAGGGAGAAGGGGAGGGAGAAGGGGAGGGAGAAGGGGAGGGGAGGAAAATGTTTTGGATGAATTGAGCAAGCATGTGGGGAGCCACGCGAGTCATCCAGCATGTTGAGCACTTTGCGCACAAGCATGTGGGGCGGCAAGAGCATGGGGGGCGGCACAAGCATGTAGGGCGGCAAGAGCATGTGGGGCGGCGCGAGCATGTAGGGCGGCGCGAAAATGTAGGGCGGCGCGAGAATGTAGGGCGGCGCGAGAATGTAGGGCGGCGCGAGCATGTAGGGCAGCGCGAGCATGTAGGGCGGCGCGAGCATGTCCAGGAACCCCTTTCCCCTAAACATCTGAGCCCCAAAACCAGAAGCCCTTATCCCTGGCCCCTCCAGAACCCACCAGCTCGCCATCGAACTGGTCGGAAATGAAAACCCTCTTCACGTAGAGCCGGATGTTGCGGGTCTTGCCCCCCATCGACCCAAAACCTTAAACCCAGCCCCTAAACCCCCTCACTCACCAGCTCCCCGTCAAACTGGTCGGAAATGAAAACCCTCTTCACGTAGAGCCGGATGTTGCGGGTCTTCCCCGAGAACATGTCGTTGGCGTCAAAGGGCGCCATGCCCGGCACGTAGAGCAGCGACTTGAACTCAATCTCGCCCTCCGTTGAGAAGTGTGTGTGGGTGAGCGGATCCAGGAACTCCTTGAACGTGTTCTTGAAGAACTCGTTGTACTCCGCTTGCTCCACCTCCTTGGGTGCACGGACCTGTTTTACAACGGGGATGAGCGAAGGGGAGGGAAGGCGCACAGAGGGAACGGGAGGGAGAAGTGAGAGGACAAGTCGGGTCGAGGAACTCCTTGAACGTGTTCTTGAAGAACTCGTTGTACTCTACGTTGCCTCGCATTGACCAGCCTTGACTCTCGCATTGACCAGCGTTGACCAGCGTTGACCCACTCACCCAGATGGGCTTGGTGTCGTTCTCCAGCACCCAGTCAAAGTACTTCTCCTCCACTGTTCGAGTCTTCTTCACTGGAGGCTCATACTGACAAGCCTTGACACCTGCACTAACCCCTACTTTGACTCGCATTGATCCGCGTTGACCGGCGTTGACTGACTCACCCAGATGGGCTTGGTATCGTTCTCCAGCACCCAGTCAAAGTACTTCTCCTCCACCGTGCGAGTCTTCTTCACCGGGGGCTCGCCTTCCTTCTTGGCCGCCTCCTCATACTCCTCCTGCGGTTGATAAAGAGAGGGATGCGGAGGGGGAATATGAGAGGGAAGAGGAGAGGGAGGAGGAGAGGGAAGAGGAGAGGGACAGAGGAGAGGGACATGAGAGAGATGATGAGAGGGGGGAAAGTGATGGGAGGAAAGGGAAATGAGGCCAACTCAAATCCTGAAACCCTGAGGGAGGAAAGAAGGAACCCTGAACTCGCTATGTCACAACTCAAATCCCAACCTTCTAACTGCATCACCTCCTGCCACACATAAATGGAGATTTTGATGCTCTAATCCCATCCACCAAACTCCAACCCTCAAACCCCAAACCCTTTACCATCTTAGAACGTGTCTGCTCCTGCCACATGTAGATGGGGAACCCGATGAACTGCGAGCAGTGACATGCTCTGATCCCATCCACTCAACTTACTAAAACCCAACCCCCAATTCCTGAAACCCCGAACCCTCAACCCTCTCCGCACCTCCTTGGAGCGCGTCTGCTCCTGCCACATGTAGATGGGGAACCCGATGAACTGCGAGTAATTCTTCACCAGACTCGCCAGGCGCGCGGGATCCGAATACTCCGCCTTCTGGTCGTCCTGTGAACACAAACGAGGCGGGGAAACGGGGTGGGGAGGAGGTAAAGCGGGCAATTCTTCACCGTACCCTTGAGAACTCTCACCAGGCTCTTGACAGCTCGAGAGCCTTGAGAACTCGTTTCACCCTGACCCTAACTCCTTAAACCCTGAACCCCGACCTTCACACCTTCAGGTGAAGCTGAATGGACGTGCCACGGGCTAGCTGCTCTTCATCGTCCTCGCGAATCATGTACGTGCTCTGATCCGCCTCCGCCTCCCACACCCACTGCTTGTCACTCCTTGCACCACCCCTGACCCTATACCCCAAACCCTAACCCCCGAACCTAAAAGCTCTCCTTTCTCACCTTGAGATGCAGCTGAATGGACGTGCCACGAGCCAGCTGCTCCCCATCGTCCTCGCGAATCGTGTACGTGCTCTGATCCGCCTCCGCCTCCCACACCCACTGCTTGCCGCCCTTAGCACTCTTGGTGCGGACCGTAACTCGATCCGCCACCAGGAAAGCCGAGTAGAATCCCACGCCGAACTGCCCGATCAGGTTGCTGTCCACCTCGCCCTCCTTCTCCTGCTTCTCCTGTTGGGGTTTAGGATTTAAGGGCAGGGGCGGAGGTGGGGAGGGAGGCAGAGGCGGGGGGAGGGGCCGGGGGAGGGGGCGGGGGAGGGGGCGGGGGCGGGGGACCAGAGAGGGGGGGGAGAAGGACAAGCTGGGTTGATTCTTGACTGTTGAGTCACCTCCCACACCACAGCCACGGCTTGCCGCCCTTGGCGCTTTTGGTGCGGACCGTGACTCGATCCGCCACCAGGAAGGCCGAATAGAAGCCCACGCCGAACTGCCCGATCAGGTTGCTGTCCACCTCGCCCTCCTTCTCCTGCTTCTCCTGTCGGGGTTTTGAAGAGGTTTAAGGTTTTGGGGCAGGGGCGGAGGCGGGGGGGCGGAGCGGAGGCAGGGGGGGGCGGGGGAGGGGGAGGGCGCGGGGGCGGGGGACCAGAGAGGGGGGGGAGAAGGATAAGCTGGGTTGATTCTTGACTGTTGAGTCACCTCCCACACCACAGCCACAGCTTGCCGCCCTTGTCGCTCTTGGTGCGGACCGTGACTCGATCCGCCACCAGAAAGGCGGAGTAGAAGCCCACACCGAACTGCCCGATCAGGTTGCTGTCCACCTCGCCCTCCTTCTCCTGCTTCTCCTGTCGGGGTTTTGAAGAGGAGTAGACAGAAGGAAGACAGAAGGGTATTTATGAGTCGGCACAAGAGCAACGGCTTTTGCACTAGAGGGACTCAGCGAGCTGGAGGTTCCAACCTTTCCCATGCTCACTGAATCGTCAAAAGAAAGTCGATTTACAAGCTTATCCGAGCTACAAGTCGCGCCGCGCTTACCTTATGGCCTGGGCGATGGTGCCCAGAGAGTCCATGAGCTCCAAGCTACCCAGCCTATCCCCGCTACAAGCCCTCCCCGCTACAAGCCCTCCGCGCAATAAGCTCCCTCCCGCGCTTACCTTGATGGCCTGCACGAACTTGGCGGTGCCACTCTGGGCGATGGTCCCCAGCGAGTCCATGAGCTCCTCCTTGGTCATACCGATGCCTGTATCGCTGCATAGGCACAAGGGGAGGAGGAAGAGTGAAGGCAGAGTGAAGGAACGAGTGCGGAAACGAGTGAGAGGGGGAAACGAAGGCACTAGTCCCCAGCGAGACCATCAACTCCTCTTTGGTCATGCCGATGCCCGTTTCGCTGTGGATTGGAAGGGGAGAGGTCCGGGCAGAGAGAAAGAAACGAGTGAGAGGAGAAGGGCGGCGAATGAGGTGAGTGAAATGCACCATCTTGGTTTCAGGGAAGTTTATTAGCGGCTCTTTGGTCCGGCAACGAACGAGCAGCGAACGAGCGTGCACTGCGTGACGGAGATAGTACAATAGTACAGCAGTGACGAGCAAGCACAGCACAGCACACCACTTTGGACCACACTATACTCCAGCGCACCACACTCACGTGATGGTGATGGTGCCGGCAGCGGGGTCCGCCTTGATGCGGATGGCGAGCTCCGCGTCCGCCGCCATGAGCGAGGGGTCCGTCACCGACAGACAATGGACCTCTCAAAAGCCATCACGTTCCACCGCACCACACTACAGCACAACCCAACACATCACACACCACCACACACCACCATAGCACACCGCAGCACACCACAGTCCACAGAATCGCACTCACGTGATGGTGATGGTGCCGGCGGCGGGGTCCGCCTTGATGCGGATAGCGAGCTCCGCGTCCGCCGCCATGAGCGACGGGTCCGTCACCGACAGGAACCGAAGCTTGTCCAACGCGTCGCTCGCGTTGCTGCCAAAGAATTAGGGAGCGGTGGAAATGGGCGGGAAGAGATACGCGATATGGACAAATTCAGCCACGGAGTCGACTCAGCCTTGAGCGACAGGGAGAAGAGGGGAAACGGAGATACACCGCGGTTGCTGTAGAAAGAGTGAACGGTACCATCCAGGAAGTTGCAAGGAGTTTTGGGGATTCTCATAAAAACAACCGTCCTGCCAAATCGTACCAGACGAGAACGTGCACGATGAGCTTTCTTAAAACGAGTGGCTCCGTGAAATCACTCTTGACAATTCTCAGAAACACCCCGCTAGCCAATGCGTACCTGACGAGCTCGCGCAGGAAGACCTCGCGGTGGCTGTAGAGAGAGTGCACGATGAGACTTCAAGACTACAGGGTATTTGAGAAATCTCAGAAACACCCTGCCAAGCCAACCACACCACATCGTACCTGACGAGCTCGCGGAGGAAGACCTCGCGGTGGCTGTAGAGAGAGTGCACGATGAGATCCATGAGCCGATTAACCTGCGCGCACACACGGACACGTGGACAGAAACACATGAACCGATGAAAACCATGTGTGTTGCGGACAGATCGAGTTTCAAAAAGTTTCCTTTCCTAGGACGATGTAGACCAGATCAGGGATCTTTCGCACTCAAACTCGATCTGCGTTGTGATGGTGGATCTTCCAAACAAACCACGACCAAATCGCGTCATCCATCCTTTGATTTGTGAAATTCCACTCACCTCGGCCTGGTACGTGAAGGTCTCAGAAGCAGGAGCCTCTGTCGTCGTGGCGTTGCATCGGACAGGGTTCCACGTGGCAGGCTTCTGGCCCGCGCGCTGCGATGCTGACGTGGCATGAGCGGCCGAGCGGGAGAGGCGGGCAAGAAGAGCGGGGTTGCCGGAGGAGAAGGAGCGCCACGAGATAGACGGTGCGGATGTGGTTGACTGCGCGGGAAAGCGGGAGGAGGGAAAGGGAGAACGGAGAGCGAGGGATTTAGGGCATATGAATGACTCATAGCTGACTCAATAATTACAAGAAAAACTCATCTTATTCAGAAAATGACACGGGTGTTTGGCACGGCATAGCCAGAAATCGTAACGGTGACGGACAGCGAATCACGCACCGCAGCCTTGGACGAAGCATCCTTCGCCAGCAGCGCGCGCGGAGCGCTCGAGAGCGACGCGGCGTTCATCTGAAGAGCCGCCATGGCTGGGAGATCTGAAAGCGCGGGGAGAGCGCGGTGCGCGGAACGCAGGAGTCGGCGTGCGGCGGTCGCACGAGAGAGCATCAAAACGAAACACCCTCCGGGAATCGCTGCGAAGCGATGCGAAGCTCGCACAGTTCTGAGGCAGATGGGAGCAAAACTGTGATCAGTGAGCGAGCTATCCTTGAGAGCAGCAAGAACAAGCGCAAGCAACCAAGGGAGAAGAATATAACTGTCGATATTTTATCTCCAAGGACGCTGGAGCTCCCCCTGGGTTTCAGGCGGTGGTTGGCGGAGATGTAGGCGGAAAGCGAACCGCGGCTAGGGGAACAGATCAAACCGGAAGTGGGGGGAAAATGTGATGTGCTGCGGGAACAACTGGCGAGCGGAGCGAAATTGGAATGCACATTGGGGGTCACCGCCGAATGCCGAATGCAGGAAGCGGGGGGGAAGAATGTGGAATGTGCTTGCGGCATTCTCAAGGCTTTCCAGGTGGACCGAGAAAAAAGTGGTTCGTACGCGTGGCATCGAATCGATGTGCCAGATCATTTTCTCGAAAGGACATTGTGCCAGCTCAGCCTCGACCAGAAGGTTCGAGTGCTAGAATAGGGCGTGCGCAGATGACGGTGTGATCGGTCACGCGCTGAAGAGGATCTGGTGTACAGAAATTATGCGTGAAAGCTCCTCTCATTGTACTGTATAAATAAAAGCGTGATTGTATGATGCCTAAGCTGTCCATACAAGGTGTGGTGCTAGTACATGAGATTCACTTTTATTTCCTCATGCTACTAGGTTCCCGAGTCAAGAGCTGGTTTCAATACGATATACTGTCATGTTGTTACGTCATTGCCTTAGCCAGAATGGATTGCTTCCGTAAATTAGGGAGTTGTAAATGGCATTTCCTGAGCATTCCAGAGTACACTGCATGCACACTTTTCTCCAGGATAGAAGTAAGAACAATCGGTGACCGGTAGCCACTCTGATATCCCTCGGTCATGCCAAACACAGCTAAACAAAAATAGCACAGCGCTTCGCACAACAATGCTTCAGAGTGGTCTACTCCAAATTTCGTGAACACAATCTTCCGGCCCTTGGTGCCGTAGCTAAAAAATCGAGATTGTTCGCTCTTTTAAGCTGAATGCTTGGTCTCAATGTGCTTCTTCAAAAATGTCTCAGCATTGAACTTCCTGTTGGCCACAAAACAAAGCAGCACAACACCAACAAACAAGCAAAGCATGAGTAAACGTTCCACAAAAGACAACATGGTCAGCAGCAACATACAGAAGAAAAAGCTCAAAGCACCACCAGTTCAAGGCATGGCAAGATGGATCTGGCAGGGGTGCTGTGTGCATTGCAATTCAAGCTCTTTTGCATTGACATTTGCATTTTCGTGTTAGAGAATTTCCAACAGGCCTGGTGGGCAATGGGAAATAACTTTCTTACCTCCAGACACGCAGGGGTGGCTGTGGCGCCAGGCTCTACCTGCTGCTGCTGGCGGTGCCACTGTTGCTAGTGCGTGTCGTGGATGGTTGCTTACCTTGGGCAGCATATGCATTGAAAAATGACTTACTTGGGGCACTGTGGGCAGTGAAAGATAACCTTCTTTCCTCCAGACACAGGGGTGGCTGTGGCACCAGGCTCCGGGGTGCCTGCTGCTGCTGCTGCTGCTGCTGCTGCTGCTGCTGCTGGTATGTGCTGTGAATAATGTATTGCTTTGGACAGCATGCATTGAGGGATGACTTACTTGGGGCACTGTGGGCAGTGGAAGATAACCTTCTTCTTTCCAGTGGCAGGGGTGGCTGTGGCGCCAGGTTCCGGTGTGCCTGCTGCTGCTGCTGGCGGTGTGGCTGCTACTGGCGATGCTGCTGCAGGCTTGACAGCGGGAGTGGCAGGCTTGGCAGCCTAACCAAGAACAAATATCAGGCGGGTAGTGAAAAAAACAAAGGAACGAGACGGGTAGTGAAGAAAGGGGGATCAGAGTGTGATGTGAGACTAAGGAATGAGACGTTTCAGCGTAAGAATGCATTTCAGGAGTGGAGAGGAAGGGGGAGGTGAGGAGGCGGTGGGAGGTGAGGAGGCGGTGGGAGGTGAGGAGGCGGTGGGAGGTGAGGAGGCGGTGGGAGGTGAGGAGGCGGTGGGAGGTGAGGAGGCGGTGGGAGGTGAGGAGGCGGTGGGAGGTGAGGGCGGGTTGGGTTGAGGGCAGCACGGAAAGGAATGGGGTGGGCAGTGGGGGAATATATGGTCCAACATAACTGCGCTCGCATCACCATGCGCCCAGAATGCTCCCATCCCCATGCATGCATTGATGCTCCTATCCCCATGCATGCACTGATGCTCCCATCCTCATCTGCAGTTTGCAACAGCGCGTATATAACTACCTGCTATTAGGTCATGGAATCAGGGAGTTTTTGACTACATGGAACCGGCTATTAGGGAGGGTACAGGACTAACTGCAACCTTAAACTCAAGGAAAAGGCTCGACCCAACACTGCCATCATACTCTAACTTTCAAACCCCTTTAGCCATATCCCAGCAGCAGCAAGAGGCAGCAGTGAGGGACAGCTGCAGGGGGCAGACTGGGAACGAAGGCATACCTCCTTGGCAGGAGCGGGAGAGGGAGCGGCAGGGGAGGGAGCAGCAGCGTCACCACCACCAGCGGCGGCAGCAGCAGCGGCGGCAGCTTCTCTGCGTTGCTTCTTCTTTTGCGCCTTGGATAGGGCAGGCGAGGGCGTGGCTGCGGGGGAGTCCGCTTGGCGCTTGGCGCCCGCTGCAGGCTGTGGGGGGGGACAACAAGGGGGGGAGTGCAAAGGGGGAGGGAGGGTGGGGGGAGGGGAGAGGCGAGACATTAGTTTAGGGTTGCTTCTACTTTTGTGCTTTGGAGAGAGCAGGCGAGGGCGTGGCAGCGGGGGAGTCCGCTTGGAGCTTGTCGCCCGCTGCAGGCTGTGGGGTTGCGATAAGAGGGGGAGTGGCGGAGAGAGGGGAGGAGGGGCGAGTCATTGGGTTCACTGATTCACTGCAGGGTGTGAAGGGTGTTGAGAAGATGGCACGGGATCAAAGGAGTGTGAGGGAAAAAAGCGATAAGCCCAAAAGAAGAAACCCAAAATCTGAAACCCCGAACCTGAAAGCCCGAAATATCAAAATTGACCAGGGATGACAGTCGAACAAGAATAGAAATCTGAGGAGAAAACAAAAGGGAAGGCGGTAGGAGTGAGGTGAGGGGTAAGGGGAGGGGGAAACGCCACGAGGGAAGACCAGAGAGACGAAGGCGAAGCTGGCAGGAGGTTATACACATGGCAGCAGAGGGAGAGACAGGGACACGCACCTCGGGTGTATCAGCAGGTTTAGCAGCAGCAGGAGCGGCGGGCTTGGCGGGCTCGGCCGCGTCTGCCATCTGTTCAGTCAGCGGGTGGGGTGAACAAGACGCGTGGGCGAGGTGGGTGAGAGCAGAATGGGTGAGCAAGATCGGCGGCCAAGTTACGTAAACAGCTAGTTTTATTATTCCCAGCATCCACGGGCTAGGCTGGCTCGACGGCGTTGGCCATCTGTTGGGACAACAAGTAGGGTGAACGACTCACGTGGGGACATGGAAGCTTTGTCAGTTATAAACATTTAGTGGGGAATGAGCATTGAATCAGGACGATGACAAAACCCCGAAGACAAAAATGACGCCGCAAAAAGTATCTGCGTTTCTAGTGATGTCAAGGTAACCAGTGTAAGTTCCAGCGTTACGTGCTGCGCACTAGTGAATCTTGCTAGGAAAATCTCCAAGCTAAACCTCCAGTCTCCAGGGAAATCAACACCCCAATCCCTGACCCTCACGACGAAAATCAATCCTGCATCTTGCTTACAAAATAACCCCGTTTAACCCTGAACAAGGAGTTGTAGCACGTTAAAACCCTGAATCCTGTCAACGAAACCGACAACCCCAATTCTTGCCATAAGTCACCCACTAAACCCCGAATCCCACGAGGTCATCAATGCCACGTCTCCCTAAAGCCCTCAGCAATTCGACCCTTACTTCCGCGAGTCTACGTCCAGCTTCAAGCTACTTCACAGCGGGGAACATCTTCATGCCCAAGGCTCACGCGGAACGGACGCTGCTTTAAGGTGACTTATGAGTCGAATCAGAAGTCACTTCCGCGAGTCTACGTCCAGCTTCAAGCTACTTCACAGTGAGGAACATCTTCATGCCCAAGGCTCACGCGGAACGGACGCTGCTTTGGTCAATGTTCGTCCAACGGTCGCCTAATGGTCGTCGCCTACTGTTCGCCGAACAGTCGCATATGGTCGCCTAACGACAGTAATGCTCTCACCTCTGCGTCCTTGCTCGGGCTTGCCGCCTTCTTCCCAGCCTTGGCTGCGGCGGCGGCGGCGGCGGCGGCGGCGGCCTTCTTGCGCGGCGGTGTGTCCTCCTCCTCCTCCTCTTCCTCCTCCTCCTCGTCCTCCTCAATATCCTCCTCATCAAACTCATCGTCCATGTCTGGTCACAGGCAACCAGCAGACAAGTAGGAAAGGCGAGAAACTAGCATCAAGGGTGGGCGCAAGGGGGCTTCTCGTCCTCCTCCTCCTCCTCCTCCTCCTCGTCCTCCTCAATTTCCTCCTCATCAAACTCGTCGTCCATGTCTGGTCACAGAAAGGAGGAGCACGGTAGGAAGTTGTAAAACGCAGAGACGTAAGCAGAAACGAAAGAAGCAACGCAAGCAGCAAAGAAGTCGTGGGACCACTTTGAAAACGCCCCTGTCAAACTCGTCACTGCAGTTTTCGCCCACTTCTGCCAGAGCCGGAGAAGAGGCTGAACGGCCGGTCGAGCACGAGATCGGGGCTCATTTGATCCAATTTCCCCTTCACCAGCGAAATCGGGTTCCCAGCACTCACCGTAATCGTCATCGTCGCCACCGTCGCGCGTCTTGTACCCAGAGAAGAAAATGCTGTGCGAGCCGGAGTGGAACAGGCTGAACGGCCGGTCGAGCACGAGATCGAGGCTCATCTGGTCCACCTTTCCCTTCACGAGCGTGCCCAGCACCACCGTCACGGGCGCCGGAGGAGCCTCATCCTCGTCGTCGTCCTCCTCCTCGTCGATCTCCTCCCTCAGCTGCACCACCACTCTCTCGTTGTCCTTCGCTTGAGCCCCCAGCGCCACCTGTCGGTCAGTGAAGCCAGATTAAGAACGCCGTCATGTGTTTGACGAGTTGGAATGGTGCGTACCGATCTACGTGCTACAAAGGCGCTACGGAGTTTGATTGAGTACATTCACGTTTCTCAGAAAATGACATGTCCTGCTTGGTTTGAACAGGTTCCGTTGTCCGAGCCTGGTTCAGTAATCAGACAAAACGAGCTCCTCTCTTGCTCATATCAGTTGTAAAAAAGGAGAAAAAACGTAAGTATTAAGAAAAAGATTTGAAATGTTTACGTCGGCGTGAGGGTACCTGGGAGATGTGGAGGTCAGCACCGTAGTTGGGGTCCTGTTGATATTTATCTGAGAATTCTATAAAATACCTGCAACGTACCTGGGAGATGTGGAGGTAGTCGGCATCGTCGTTGGGGTCCACTATGAGGGTATCCTTGGGCTTCACCTCCACGCCTGCACCAATCAGGCACCCGATTGCACGACAAATCAATCGCAAGGCATTCAATCGCACGGCATTCATCGCACGACATTCAGTCGCACGAGAAAGAAGATGAAAAAGGCTGGTGTTATGAAATGCCAATACGCAAAGACAATATGACAGATGTACGGGACGAGGGAGCTGCTGGACGCGTCTTCAATTGAAGTGATCAAGGGATTGACGAATACGAGCCAGACAACGACACGACCAGAGATGAGAGCGGATGCTTTGCTGGATTGCCGAACTAGGCGTTCCGAAGGACGGAACAGAGGTAACAGAAAAAAGGATCTCACCCCAAAAGCTCAGCTTTCCGTCCATGTTTTTATTTGTGATTAATAAGATCAAACTGAACTTGGCGTTGCGAGGGGAAGACTAACAAGAAGGCTGACCAGGACTCAGCTTCTGAACAACAAAAATCAAGGATGGATTTCCAGTGAATTCATACCAGGGATTTGGCTCCTCCCTACAGCTCCGCACAATTCTCTATACCCTGAGGGTGTGGGGGCACGACATGGTGGTTTGCTAACGCCCACGCTGGTAACCAATATCGTGAAGGCCGTTTTGCTCGTGGCGACATTCGCCATAACCGAACACGCAGTTATCCATGGGACTTATTCCACGTCCCCAAAATCTGAACACTTGGATTGCAAGCAACGCAACACTAGACAAGAACCAGTCTGCCTCAAATCCACCTGGCTCACAAAATCCTGGAGACTCCCAAGGTTTTGCAAAGATCTGGGTTTCGCGCGTTTCTTGAATTTGCTTCTGGGCTCCACGAGTCTTCCCGAACCGATACAGAAAGGTCCAGTCCATTTTCGCGGCTCCAAACCGAGCTACACAGCGAGGCTCGGCGGGAGCAGGAGAATCTTTTTGGTGTCCCCGCACTTTCCACAACCAAAATGGCGCAAGCCCAATGGGAGCCAGCTGTTGTGGTGCACCACCCCAAAACCTTCATGATATTATACAAACGTGTCTGACTAAGTGGTGATGAAAGAACTAGTTTATTGGTGTAAGAGGACATGTTTGGTCTAGCATCATGAGTCTATCCATGCTGACAATGCCGAGCCTAGGTGGAAAAGGATGTGCTGAATTTCTGCATATGTAATAAAGATGGTTATATAAGAAGATTTTCGCTTTACGCACCTTGTCCAACACCACCAAGCAAGCCCTTCTCCACATCCCCATCCCCATCACCACCACCACCCTTCTTCCCCCTTCCACTCTCCCTCTTCACATCCTTCCAAATATTCAAGCCAGGCAATCCACGAGCCTCCTTGTCAGTCTTCTTTAGTGAAGGTGCCTTGTAAGTGAGCTGCAGCAGGAGGGAGTTGGCCATGACTCCCAGAGAGCTCACTCCCATGAGGGCACCACAGAGGGAGGGGGTGAGCATGGTGCCTGTGAAGGGCAGCAGCGCCCCTGCTGCCACTGGGAGACCAATCTGCAAGGAAAAAGGGGAACAAGGGGGAACAAGAAGGTGTGAGACGAAATCACTACCCACGGAGACTGTGAAGGGGAGCATTGCCCCTGCTGCCACTGGTAGACCAATCTGCAGAGGTGAAGGGGTAACAGAGGGGGAGCAGAGAGGTATGGGATGCAGGGGAGGCAGTGAGCGATGGGGACACTGAGGTACAGTATGCAGTCATCACTCACTGGATGCAGTCATCACTCACTGGATGCAGTCATCACTCACTGGATGCAGTCATCACTCACTGCATGCAGTCATCACTCACTGCATGCAGTCATCACTCACTGCATGCAGTCATCACTCACTGCATGCAGTCATCACTCACTGCATGCAGTCATCACTCACAGGATGCAGTCATCACTTCCTGTCCCCAGTGATAATGGGGGAGCAGGGTGGCAATGCGCCTGCTGCCGCTCAGTACCCATGGAGGGATGGGAAAGGTGGGGGGGAAAGGTGGGAGGGAAAGGTGGGGGGGAAAGGTGGGGGAAATGGGGGGAGGTGAGGGGGGGGGAGGCCCCCCCGGGAGGGAGGGTTGGTGTTGGTGTGGATGGAGGGTGTCCCTCCATGCTGTAGAGGAACAACCACCTCCACACCAATTTTTGAGTCGACTCAAAAATCGACTTATCACACACGGGTTGGTGTGGAGGGTGACCCTCCATGCTGTAGAGGAACACGAACCTCCACACCAATTCTGGCCAGATTCCGGCGGATCTTGTTGAAGGTGCAGCGGCTGAGGTGAATGGCGTCCACCACTTGAGTCACCCGGTCACCCATCAGCACCACTCACTCAGCAGCACTGCCCCCCACCCACCCCCCACCCCATACTCACCAGGCCTCTCTGTGTGTCTGTCCTCAATCATTTGATTCTTTGAAAATAGGAAGCAGTAGGGGTTGGGGTGCTGGGTGGTGGGGGTTTGGAGGCAGTAGGGGTTCTCACCATGTTATACAAAAAGGCCCAGGCGAGGTTTTGACGGATCTTGTTGAAGGTGCAGCGACTGAGGTGAATGGCGTCCACCACTTGAGTCACTCGGTCGCCCATCAGCACCACCGATGCCACGTCACTTGCCGCTCCCACCCCTCCCGCCATGGCAATGCCCACGTCTGCTCGCGCCAGCGCCGCTGCGTCGTTCACCCCGTCTCCTACCATCGCCACCCGCGCTCCTTTCGCCTGAAGGGCTGAAACGAAGTCGGCCTTTCCCTCCGGCTTTACCCCTGCGTAGACCTGATGGTGGGAAGGGAGGAGAATGAGGGGAGGAGAGGATGTAGGAAGGAAGTCACACAGTCACCCACCAGTGAGACCACGTCACTTGCCGCTCCCACCCCTCCCGCCATGGCTATGCCCACGTCTGCTCGAGCCAGTGCAGCGGCGTCGTTCACCCCGTCTTCCACCATCGCAACTCGCGCTCCCTTTTCTTGTAGCGCTGAGACGAAGTCGGCTTTTCCCGCCAGCTTTACCCCTGCGTACACCTGATGGTGGGAAGGGAAGGGAGGAGAATGAGGGGAGGAGAGGACGTCAGAAGGAAGTCACACAGTCGCCCAGCCCACCAGCAGCACCACCGATGCCACATCACATGCTGCTCCCACCCCTCCACCCATGGCCAGAGCAGCCGGCCGCTTATCCCCGGACCGGACAGCATGGCTGTGTGCAGCCCCATAACCTGTAGCGCCGCTACAGCTGCTACAACCACTACATGGAGGGGGGTGTCACATGGCTTATAGCATCTCACCTCATTCTCTGGGATGCCGACTTTGTGTGCGATCGCCAGTACTGTCAGTCTCTCATCCCCCAACAGCATCGCAGTATGCAGCTGGTTTTTGAGAATTCTCAAAAACCGTCCCTTATCCCCCAACAGCATCGCAGTATGCAGCTCCATAGTCTCTAATCCCCCACAGCCTGTGCGCGGCTACAGCCTTTGCTAAATAAAGCTTCTTACCTCGTTTTCAGGGATGCCGACTTTGTGTGCTATAGCCAGTGCTGCAGGTCTCTTGTCCCCTGACAGCATGGCAGTGTGCAGTCCTATGGCCTGTAGCGCCGCTACAGCCGCTACTACAGCTGTCACATGCAGGGGGTTATTTGGCTCACCTCGTTCTCTGGAATTCCGACTTTGTGTGCGATTGCTAGGGCCGCAGGTCTCTTATCCCCCGACAGCATCGCCGTGTGCAGCCCCATGGCCTGTAGCGCCGCTACAGCCGCCGCCGCCTCGTCGCGCACCTTGTCGACCAATGAGATGGCACCTGCCAGCCGGCCGTCCACCCCCACGTACACGGTGGTCTCGCCTGGCGTGGGATCGCCTGGCATGGCAGGCCTGAGAGTCGGTGATGCGGGGGATGACCCTGCAGCAGGGACGGGGGATGGGACCAGGGAAACGGAGGGGGAGGAGAGGGTAAGTGCCAGCTGACCGTCCACCCCCACGTACACGGTGGTCTCGCCTGGGGTGGGATCGCCTGGCATGGCAGGCCTGAGAGTCGGTGATGCGGGGGATGCGCCTGCGAAGGTAAGGAGCAGGGACGGGCGGGAAGGGGTTGGGCAGAGGAGGAGGATGGGAGGAAAGGGGAGATGGATGACATGGCGCCTGCCAGCCTGCCAGCCGGCCGTCCACCACCACATACAGCGTGGTCACGCCAGGAGTAAGATCGCCTGGGACCTGTGGGAGGAGGGAGGGGGTTCTTGGACGCACATGCAGGTACAGGGAGAGACTGGGGGGGAGGGGAAGGGAGGGAGGGAAGCAGAATGAGATGAGTTTATCTCAATCCAGTCGCGGCACTCCAACTCCACTGGCACATCACAGCCTTTTCTCTCTCAGCCAATCAGGCGTGCCCACCACCACATGCAATAAGACCTCAGGTCAGCCTCTTCCAATTCCACCACCCACACAACACACACCAACATCTCACCTTCTGCAGCGCTGCTCATCAGATCAGCCTCTTCCAATTCCACCGGCACATCGCAGCCGTTATCCCTCAGCCAATCAGGAGTGCCCACCACCACATGCCGCCCGTCCACCACCGCCGCCGCCCCAGCCCCCGGCTGTTGAAAAAACGACCCGTCCTCCACCCGCGCTCGCCTCGCCTCCTTCCCAACAGCTTCCACTATCGCCGTCGCGAGGGGATGCGTGGAATTACGCTCCACCGCTGCTGCCAACACCAACACCTCTTTCCTCCTCTCCTCTTCTCTGTCTTTCCTCCTCTCCTCTTCTCTGTTTTTCCTCCTCTCCTCTTCTCCTACTTTCCCCCCTCCTCCTCCTCCCTGCCTCCGAGCCCCACGCTCCCTCTCCTCCTCAGCAGTCCCATCCCCATGCAGGCGAACGCGGGTGACGGTGGGGCGGCCGAGGGTGAGCGTGCCGGTCTTGTCAAAGAGCACGGTGTGCACGGCAGTGGAGCGCTCTAACACGTCTCCCCCTCTAATGAGCAGCCCTTTTCTTGCTGCTACGGCTGTTCCTACCAGGACTGCTGTTGGGGTGGCTAGACCGAGGGCACACGGGCACGCCACCACCTGAGAGAGGGGGCAAGGAAGTAACAGGAGGGAAGGCGGGACATGGAGGGGGGGAGGGAGAGGGAGAGGGAGAGGGAGAGGGAGAGGGAGAGGGAGAGGGAGAGGGAGAGGGAGAGGGAGAGGGAGAGGGTGAGTGTGCCAGTCTTGTCAAAGAGCACGGTGTGCACGGCAGTGGAGCGCTCCAACACGTCTCCCCCGTAAATCAGCAGCCCTTTTCTTGCCGCTACTGCTGTTCCTACCAGCACTGATGTGGGCGTTGCTAATCCGAGGGCACTCCACACTTGAAGAATATAAAAGATACGAGTTTCACAAGTTACACAAGTTACAAAGGCTCCACTCCACTCACCAGCACGTTGCATGCGAGGCTGCAGCGCCAGCAGCATGCTCCCTCCCGGGCCAGCAGCATGCTCCCTCCCGGGCCAGCAGCAGCAGCGAGGGCAGCCGGAAAGAGCTTGGGGCTGTCAAGACTGCCCCACAGCCCACCTACAGGAGTTACAAACAAAAGCTCCTCTCCGCCTCCACTCACCAACACGTTGCATGCGAGCTGCAGCGCCAGCAACAGACTCCCACCAGGGCCAGCAGCAGCGAGGGCAGCAGGGACGAGCTTAGGACCGAGGGTGGACCAGAAGGCGAAGGTGGCCGCTGCTATGCCCATGACTCCATAGCAGAACTTGCCAGATACCTGGATGGGGGAGGGGCACACAGCACACATGGCACGGCAGGGCAGGGCAGGCAGGGCAGGTGAGTTGAGCAGGGAGTTTGGGACCGAGGGTGGACCAGAATGCGAAGGTGGCTGCTGCTATGCCCATGAATCCACAGCAGAACTTGCCAGATACCTGGTGTGTGGAGGGGAGGAGAAAGGGGGCGGAGGAGTGTTGAACAGGGAGAGAGTATTGGGGTTACAGTGACAGGCAGGGGAAGGCAGGGCGAGCAGACAGGGCAGCGAGAAGTGACGAGCTTGGGGCCGAGGTTGCTCCAGAATGCGAAGGTGGCTGCTGGTATGCCCATGACTCCATAGCAGAACTTGCCAGATACCTGGTGTGTGTGTATAGGGGAGGAGAAGGGGGTTGCATGGGGGCTGGTTATCGTGAATTTGAGGGGAGTGGGTTAGGGCGACACTTTTGAGAATTCTCAAAAGGGAGTGGGTTAGGGCGACAGGTCACAACAGACAGAGCAGGTGAGCAGGGATGAGGTTGGGAGCAGGGCCGAGGGAGGAACAGAAGGCGAAGGTGGCCGCTGCAATGCCCATCACTCCAAAATAAAACTCACCTGGTGTATGGAGGGGAGAGGAGAGGCGTATGGAGTGTGGTTATTGGAGGTTTGAGGGGAGTGACTTGGGGTGGCAGGTCACAACATGCAAGACAGGGCAGTGCAGGGCAGCGAGGGCAGCCGGGACGAGCTTGGGGCCGAGTGTGCTTTAGAAGGCGAATGTGTGCCCATGACTCCGTAGCAGAACTTGCCGGATACCTGGTGGAGGTGAAATCGGGTGGGATGGGAGTTTGGGGGGGGAGGAGATTGTTGGGATTACAGAGCACAGGAGGCAGAGCTGGGAAGGGGAGGGCAGGGCACGAGGAGGAGCAGCAAGGCACCACAACGGCTTCTCACCTAGTTCACGATTCTGACCTTATCTGTTCCTTCCCTCACCAGTTCTCCACTCCCCTCATCCCATCAGCAACCATTACCTGGTCAGCAAACCGCTGCACGGGTGCCTGTCTGCCCTGGGCGTCCTCCACCATGCGCACTATGTCTGCCAACACCGCATCGCCTCCCTGCCTGCTCGCCTGCACCACTATAGCCCCGTTGAAATTCACCGTTCCCGCTGTCACCTCGTCCTGGTAGGGGAAAGGGGTTGGGGAGTATAGTATTTTAACCACGGCCACAAGGAAAAGCAGTTAGAATCTCCCCGTGCGCCATGCCATCCCCCCCCCTGCCTGCTCGCCTGCACCACCATCGCCCCGTTGAAATTCACCGTTCCCGCTGTCACCTCGTCCTGATTGGAGGATGGGGAGATGGAGGGGTGCAGGATGGAGGGGTGCAGGATGGAGGGGTGCAAGATGGAAGAGTGGGACGAAGGGTTTGATTCTTGAAGTCCCACAGGCGTTCCCCCTTTCCCACCTCTGCCTGCTCGCCTGCGGGAGAGAAGAGACGGGGGCGATGGGACGGAAGGTCTCAATGTGTGAGAGGGGTCTTCCAACCCCCCTCTCACTGCCTGCTCGCCTGCACCACCATGGCGCTCCTCCACCCCTTCCTCTCCTTTCCCGCACTCTTGTCGCATGCGCTTTTACTGACCGCACGCACACTCAGCACACACACAGACACCACCAAATGCCCTCACGCACACTCAGCACACACACAGGCACCAAATGCCCTCATACCACCACCGACTCACCCCGGCCTGCTTCAGCACTGGCAGTGGCTCCCCTGTTATGCTGCTCTCACGCACCCGCCATCCATCCGCATGCATTGAGGTCGTTTTTGAGGCGCCTCAAAAACGACCTCAACGCACCCGCCATCCATCCACTCATCTCCTCGTGCTTCAACATGTACCTATCCAAACCCAACGCCCTCACCCACCACCATTGTACAGATGCATGCGTTCTTGTAGTAGCATGTGCAGATGCAAACGCCCTCACTCACCCCGGCCTGCTTCAGCACAGGAAGCAACTCCCCCGTGATGCTGCTCTTATCCCATGCGCACACCATCCTACCACACGGGCTTTCAACATGTGCACATGCCTTCACACCATACCACCGACTCACCCCGGCCTGTTTCAGCACGGGCAGCGGCTCCCCTGTGATGCTGCTCTCGTCCACTGTGCTGCGCCCTCCTGCCACTGTCCCGTCCACTGGGATACGATCCTGATGCATGGAAGGGCGCACGTGGCGAATTGGGAGCAACAGGCGAGATATGGGAGAATGAGGGGAGGGACACGGGGGACGGGGGGGCAGTGGTTCCCCTGTGATGCTGCTCTCGTCCACTGTGCTGCGCCCTACTGCCACTGTCCCGTCCACTGGGATACGATCCTGATGCATGGAAGGGCGCACGTGGCGAATTGGGAGCAACAGGCGAGATATGGGAGAATGAGGGGAGGGACACGGGGGACGGGGGGGCAGTGGTTCCCCCGTGATGCTGCTCTCGTCCACTGTGCTGCGCCCTCCTGCCACTGTCCCGTCCACTGGGATACGATCCTGATGCATGGAAGGGCGCACGTGGCGAATTGGGAGCAACAGGCGAGATATGGGAGAATGAGGGGAGGGACACGGGGGACGGGGGGGCAGTGGTTCCCCCGTGATGCTGCTCTCGTCCACTGTGCTGCGCCCTCCTGCCACTGTCCCGTCCACTGGGATACGATCCTGATGCATGGAAGGGCGCACGTGGCGAATTGGGAGCAACAGGCGAGATATGGGAGAATGAGGGGAGGGACACGGGGGACGGGGGGGCAGTGGTTCCCCCGTGATGCTGCTCTCGTCCACTGTGCTGCGCCCTCCTGCCACTGTCCCGTCCACTGGGATACGATCCTGATGCATGGAAGGGCGCACGTGGCGAATTGGGAGCAACAGGCGAGATATGGGAGAGTGAGGGGAGGGACACGGGGGACGGGGGGGCAGTGGTTCCCCCGTGATGCTGCTCTCGTCCACTGTGCTGCGCCCTCCTGCCACTGTCCCGTCCACTGGAATGCGATACCTCATGCATACCAAATGGGTGCATGGGGAATGGAAGAAACCTAGGATATACAATGGGGGACGATGAGGTGCGAGAGTGGTGGGGAGCGGCTCCCCCCTGACGTGCCTAGTGGTGTTGAGAAGGCATGTCTGTTGAGAATTCTCAAAAAACATTGAGGTCGTTTTTGAGGCGCCTCAAAAACGACCTCAGAAGGCATGTCTGTTGAGAAGGCATGTCTGTTGAGAAGGCATGTCTGTTGAGAATTCTCACAAGTGACTCAAAAAGTGACCTTAAAAAAAAGCATGTCAGCACATACCGCAGGGCTGACGAGCACTCTGTCGCCCACTTGAATCGCTTCTATTGGCACCACCTCTGTCGCTGCACTGCTGAAGCTGCTGGCCCGGATTCAGCAAGCATGAAGGCAAGCATGAAGGAGCAACATGGGCAACACAGACGTACCCCGGGGCGGACGAGCACTTCATCCCCCACTTGGATCGCCTCTATGGGCACCACTTCCGTTGCTGCATCGCTGAAACTGCTGCTTGTTGCTGCTGGGGCTGCGGCTGATTCCGCTGCTGATGATGCGGCTGCTGGGCGTGTTGAGGCAGCAACAGGAGAGGAGGGAGGGGAGGGCGAGGGCGAGGAGGAGGGGATGATGCGACGGGCCTGAGGAGGCAAAAGAGACAATAGAGCTGCCATGTCGCTTGTGGCCTGGAGGGGCCAGGAGTGTGGGGAGAGATTGGAGGGAAGGAGAAACGAGGTTGGAGGTTGGAGTGTGGGTAAAAGATGAAAACAAGAGAAACGAGAGAGGAAGCCGAGAGGATGAGGAGGGGAAGTGAGGGAAGTGAGAGGGAGGAGCAGGGGAGGAGCAGGGGAGGAGCAGGGGTGGTTTTTTGTAATCTACCGATTTAATACTACTACGTTTACCAGCACGTGTTCTCGCTCGCCTAGTACTCAGTAAGATTAGTGCCTTTTAGATTAGTCATTACCGGTCGGTCGAACCGAGCTTGCAGCTTTCTACCCGTTTCTCAGTTTGAGGAGGGGAAGTGAGGGAAGTGAGAGGGAGGAGCAGGGGTGGTTCTAGATGGATAAGGAGTGGGTAATAGGAGCAGAGCAGGTGGTACAATATAAAGTGACAGTATGTGAAAGCAGGAACACTCTACTGCAAGAACTCGAGGAAAGAGAGAAAGAAAGAAACTATTATATGAAGGAATGTGTCTTTCCCAGTCCCACCTTGATCTTGGCCCGCTCTTCCAGCACCCTCCTGAACAGCACGAACGAGTTTTGGGGCGTTTACAAAGGCTGCTTCGCCCTGCCTTACCTTGATTCTACTGTCTGCCACTCCCTCATTATCCCCTCATTATCCACTCCCTCATTATCCCCTCATTATCCACTCCCTCATTACCTTACAAAGGCTCCTTCACCTTGATCTTGGCCCGCCCTTCCAGTCCCTTCCACAGCAGCATGGACGCCAGCAGCACAAGTCCTCTTCACCCAACCTTACCTTGGTTTGGTCATACAATCCCCTAACCTCCTCATTCTCTTCCCCCCTACCCCACCTTGATCTTGGCCCGCTCTTCCAGCACCTTCCCCAGAAGCACGAACGCCAGCAGCATCAGCGGCTCCTCGAAGAATGCCGGCCAGCCCTGGGGGGAGGGAACAGGGGAGGCGGCGGCAAGGGAGGAAAGAAGAGAGGAGCGGGATTCTGGGGAGCATGCTGGGAAGAAAGGCTATGGTGTGGAAGAGATGAAGCCACAACACGAATGCTCCCCATCTGTGGTGTGGATACGGAGACCGCAACGCTTATGAGAGAAAGACTAGAGCGATGCAGTAGCTCTTTCAACACGTTTACTGCATTCACCAGCTTTGGAGGAGGAGACAGCCCCCAGGCTGACGACAGACAAGAACCTGGGGACAAGAACCCAGGCCCCCAGGTAAACCGAGAATAACCTAAGTACCTACTGCATGTGGCTCACCAGCTTTGTCACGGCAGCGGCAACAGCGCTGACAGCAAAGGAGGAGACGGCTCCCAGGCTGACGAGCGTTAACCAAGCAAACTCCTCCAGACATGCCGTGCCACAACAGCTACTGCCTAGCCTACTGCTCGTGCCTCACCAGCTTTGGCATGGCAACAGCGACAGCGCTGACAGTAAAGGAAGAGACGGCTCCCAGGCTGACGAGTGTGTTCATGTTGGGGGCTCCCCTCATCTTTTGAGTCGACTCATCAGCATTATATGCTTATTGAACTCACCAGCTTTGGCACAGCAGCGGCAACAGCGCTGACAGCAAAGGAGGAGACGGCTCCCAGGCTGACGAGCGTTAACCAAGCAAACTCCTCCAGACATGCCGTGCCACAACAGCTACTGCCTAGCCTACTGCTCGTGCCTCACCAGCTTTGGCATGGCAACAGCGACAGCGCTGACAGTAAAGGAAGAGACGGCTCCCAGGCTGACGAGTGTGTTCATGTTGGGGGCTCCCCTCATCTTTTGAGTCGACTCATCAGCATTATATGCTTATTGAACTCACCAGCTTTGGCACAGCAGCGGCAACAGCGCTGACAGCAAAGGAGGAGACGGCTCCCAGGCTGACGAGCGTGTTCATGTTGGGGGCTCCCCTCCTCAGACTGCTCCACCCGTCCTGCAGCAGCCTGCAAGGCGGGGAGGAAAGGTAGGGCAGTGAGGGGCAACGAAACGGGCGTGTGAGGGGTGGAGAGAGGTTGACCAGAGTGTTCATGTTGGGTGCTCCCCTCCTCAGACTGCTCCACCCGTCCTGCAGCAGCCTGAGATGGCGTGGGAGGGAGGGTAGAAGGGAAAGGAGGGGAAGGGCGCGTGAGCAGTTGATGCTGACGAGTGTGTTCATGTTGGGCGTGCCCCGCCTTAGACTGCTCCACCCGTCCTGCAGGAGCCTGGAAGGAGGGTGAAGAGAGGGGAGAAAGGGACAGGGGATGCCAGGGCAGTGGGGAAGGGAAGGGCAGGCGTGTGAGTGAGGGCTCGTCGTGGGCGTAGAGGGGAGTGTGGGTGCTCCCTCCCTTCCTGAGCCTGCTCCACCCGCCCTGCATCAAGCTGTTGCGGTGAGGGAGAAGGAGGGAAAAGGAAGGAGAAGTCCAGGAGATGCCAGGGCAGAGGGGAGAAGGCGTGTGAGGGGTCGTGGGTGTTGCTGACGAGAGTGTTCAGGTTGGGCACTCCTCGCCTCAGAGTGCTCCACCCGCCCTGCAGAAACCTGAGATCGTGTGGGGGGGTATGATAGGGGGAGGACACGAGAGGAGTAGAGCAAGGACGGGAGGAAAAGGAGGGAGAGGCGGGGAAGAGGAGGGAGGGCAGGGGAGATGATAGGAGAGGAGGCGGAAATGCACCCAGCCTCACACTCACTTGCGGCCAGGTCTCAGAAGGGCAGTCAGCGAGAGCAGAGCGTGCACAGTAGTGGAGCGTGCACAGTAGTGGAGCGTGCACAGTAGTGGAGCGTGCACAGTAGTGGAGCGTGCACAGTAGTGGAGCGTGCACAGTAGTGGAGTGCAGGGCGTGGGTCCAGACGGACAGCTTCCAGGCGAGGGAGGATGAGAGGAGCGAAGGGAGAGGAGACGAGAATGCACCCACCCAGCCCCACACTCACTTGCGGCCAGGGCCAAGCAGGGCAGTGAGCGAAAGAAGAGCATGCACGGGCGTGGAGTGCAGAGCGTGCGTCCATGGAGGCAGCTTCCAGGCGAGGGAGGAGGCCTGCAGCATGTGCGATGCATGCCCCACCAGACATGCTGCTGCCAGCGCCCACGCCACCAGGAGCCTACGGCCTGGGAGGGGACAGGGGAAAGAGTGTGGGGTGGGGTGAGACGACTCAACAACTCTCAAGCAAGGCGAGGGAGGAGGCCTACAGCATGTGCGAGGCGTGGCGTGGCCCACCACCAGACATGCTGCTGCCAGAGCCCATGCCACCAGAAGTCTGCCGCCTGGGGAGGGACAGGGGGGAGAGTGCAGGGTAAGTCGACTCTAAAGCTTCCAGGCGAGGCGAGAGGAGAGGCCTGCAGCATGTGCGAGGCATGGCGGGGCCCACCACCAGGCACACCGCTGCCAGAGTCCATGCCACCAGAAGCCTAAGGCCCGGGAGGGAGGGACGGGGTGGGGGAAAAAAGGACAAGAAGAGATTTTCCAAAGCATGTCAATAAGAGCCGAAAACCTGGAGCTTGAGAGGTAGACAGCACGAAGGAAGAGGAGAGGGGGAGGAAAAAAAACCAGCTCGAATAAGCCACTTTGGGAAAAAAAATTGCTAGTCAGCACCTGAGAAAAAAAGACTATATATATATATATATATATATACATATATATATATATTTAATTGTACTTACGAATGGATATGTGGAACACTCACCGCTGTCTTTCAGCCTTCTCATACGCTCCTCCCTCTTGGACTCAATCGCTGATGCCGCCCGTCCCGAGACACCGGCAGCAGTAGCACTACTAGTAGCAGCAGCAGATGGCACTCCCGCCTCCCCCTCCTCCACTCCTCCTTCCGGAACCCCCACTGTCACCGCCACCTGTCCTTCCTCGGCTGCTGCGCTTCTTGAGCCCTTGGCTGACTCCTCTGGCGAATTGCGGTTACCACGTGCATGAGTGTTACACATGTGGGTTTACAGCAGGTTTGAGGGCATAGGGAGAGGTACGAATGGAGGGGCTTTAGTCCAGGCACTTGGGGAAAGCAAAGCACTGACGTGCCTTCAGAGCATTGACTCGGTGTTTCGGTTGACTAGCAGATGCTTTTAAAGCATGTGTTTTGGCAGAAAACCCTTGCCAGCCACTCTCTTGTTGTCCCCACCCCCACCACCCCCCCTCAACACAACACCCACCTCTGAGCTTTCACTTCAACCCTCTGATACTCCTGTGGGACACTCTCCCAGCCAATGCTCACCCAACCTCCACTCGCCTCTGCTCCTGCCCCTCTTTCGATGTCCCTGGTCCCCTTATTACTGCCCCTACCCCAATACCACTACCCAGCACAACACGCACCTCTGAGCTTCGACTCAAACCCACACTCGGTCAAATACTCTGCCAACGCCCGGCCAACCTCCACCCTCCTCTGCTCCTGCCACTCCCTCCCCCCCCCTGCCGCTCCTGCCCCACCATCCGCCCACCCGTGCCCCCCAGCAGCATCGTCAGCAGCAGGGGCGGTTGTAGCGACTGTAGCCGTGGTGGCTGTAGCGGGGGCGGCTGCGGCTGTAGGAGCAGCAGACGGAGGTTCGCCTCCGGCCAATCGGATGGTGACAAGTGCTGTCTCCATGGGAAGGTTCACGGAAGCAGACACTACAGGAGGCTGGAGAAGGGGGGGAGAGGATGAGAGGAAACGGAAGAAAGAATGGGAGAGGGGGAGGTGAGGGGAATGGCAAGTTATTAGAGAACCCTAAGAGATGACCACACCACAGGAGGCTAGTAGAAGCATCGAAGACAAGCAAGTGGGGATTTTTGAGGCGCCTCAAAAATCGGCAAGTTATTAGAGAATCCTAAGAGATGACCACACCACAGGAGGCTAGTAGAAGCATCGAAGACAGGCAAGTGGGGCCCCATGGAAGGGAAAGGTGGAGGGACTGGGGACGGGGAAAGGGGTGGCGGACGGGGTGGGAGAAAAGGAAAGGAAGGGGAAACGGGTGAAGGCGGGGGTGGTTGGAATGGAGGCAAGCAAGAGGGTGATGCAAAGGGCAGCAAGGTCAAGTCAAGTCACGATATCCCCCTGCTGCAGTCTGCAGATGCCCAAGGCCTGTCTCACTGCATGTGGGCTCAGTCAGCTGCACACTCTGGCATACCGCATCTCCTTCTGAGGTGCCTCAGATACGGGCGATTCCCGAGGAGCCCAAGAGAGAAAGAAAAGAACATCATTGAGGCGCGTCAAGGAGAGTGATGATGCAAAGGGCAGAAATGTCTTCTGCACTGACTAACTACTATACATGGCTGATGCAATGTATAGCCCTGCCTCTCTACACTTAAGCTCAGCTGCACACGCAGATGGGATACGCTTGAGCACCTTCTTCCCTCCTGCACCTTCCAAGATGGCTCGCTCTTTCTCTCACCTGCGACTCGAGAATGTTCTTCACGGAAGCAGCACAGCTGCCACACGACATGCCCTAGGGAGAGGTGGAAGGGAGGGGAGACGGAGGAGAGGAGGGAAGAAGAGGGGAGGAGAGGGGAGGGGTGGGGAGGGGCGGGGAGGGGAGGGGAGATAGGGGTGGGGAGGGGAGGGGAGGGGAGGAGAGGGGTGGGGAAGGGGATATGCTTGTATCACTTTTGAAAAATCTTAAAGCCGATACACCCTGGGGAGGGTAGGAGGGGAAGGGACGAGGTTGGGTATGTGGGGGGAGTGTGGGGGGCCCAGGAGGGGACTGTGGGGGGGGGTGTGGGGGGCCCAGGAGCGTGAAGAAGCAAGGCGAAGGACGAGGGGAAGTGTATTGCGGGGTGCAAGCAACAAGAGGAGGAGAGAAATGGGAGGTAGGGACCAGCACAAAGAGAATACTCAGGGCGACATATGAAGTCCAGAACATGCCACCTTCAGTTCACCTGCCACAGACTCGCCTCGACCCGTTACAGACAGAGCTCCCCCTCCCAAACTTGACTTTTGAGGCGCCTCAAAAGTCACCCTACATGCTTACGCCCCCCACTCACCTCCCACTCACCCCCCAATCACCCCCCACTCACACCCCCCACTCACCCCCCACTCACCCCCCACTCACCCCCCACTCACCCCCCACTCACCCCCCACTCACCCCCACATCCAGCACCACTGTGTCCTGAGCCCCCCCTTCTAAACTTGAATCCGCCGCCACATGCGCACTTGCCGCTTTTGTCCGCATCTGCCTCTCCCCGCCCCAACTCTCCATCCCCCCCCACCCGTCACCCGCGCTCCCCCCGCGCCCCCATGGCCCGCCTCCGCCTCCCCCTCCCCCGAACCCCCCTACTCCCCATCCCCGCCTCCGCTGCCGCCGCTCCCGTCATGAATCAGCGCTTGGGAAATGCTCCCGAAGGGCGGCCGGCCGGCACGGCATTGACACGTAGCAGCGAAGCAACGCGCTGCAGCGGCTCGCGCGGCGCACGCGCACGCGGCGGCGTTGGATGCGGTCAATTTGAGAGAAGACCCGGCGAAGGACGCGAGTTGGTGACCGAGCGAGAAAGGCGGATTTAGGGGAGCGGAAGCGGCAGCATTGATTGCAGCGGGGATAAGGCCTCTCGGTTGCGAAAGCCAGGAAACCGCGTTATCCGAAGTCGGGGAAAGACGAGAGGCCGAGTTTCTCGGCGGAAGAAAGCCTGGTTGTGAGTGCCTAAGGTAGACCGAACGCGCTCGTGTAATTTTCCTGGAAATGGTGCGGGCTCGTGTGAAGGATGACGTGGCAGTGACGGGGTGGCAATGGCGGTGCCATCTTGCGTTGAACGAATCGCGAATTGCGGATTGAGGTGTTTGACTGAGGGAACGAAACGGGATTACCGCCGAGTAACAGCGATACGCCTGAGGAAGCGCCTGCGGAAACACCTGGCCGTGCATGGCTGCGTTGCCTGCGATTCCTGGACTCCTCACGGGAAGGTTCTTGATCGCAGCAGATGGAGCATTCGTTGCAACGGAACCGGAATGTAGGCGCGCATGAGCAGCGTGACAGGAAACACACGAGTTCATTCCGCGCTTGACGGACCAGCACTATGAAGATCGGCGCTAGACTGCGGCTACCTCACACTCTAGACTAGATAGCGAAAACGATCTCGCTTTTAGTCCAGACCTAGGAGCCAGGAGAAACCTCCGAATTCCCCTACTCGAGCCTGGTCTCTATCTCTTGGAGGAGGCGGAACGGGGTTCCTGGGCTGAACGGGAGAAATTGATGGGAGGAAATGATGGGTGACGTAGTGAGTGAATGTTGTGAGAAGAAACCCAGAGAATCCCGACGTCAGTCAGCAATACGTTTCGGTAGAGCAAGAGATGCGAAAGGCAGGAAATAGAGGTGTCTGGAAAGATTCAGACTCTTTATAAAGAGTTACAGAGTGGTGGCGCAACAGGTGATCTCGAGGAGGCTGCGGACGAAAACGTAGACAGACAATTGATGTCGTGAAATGAAACTGCTGAGACGTACGAGCAACTTCGTGTGGTACGACATTCAGCGTACGGTTTTCCAAATCCCTGATGTCCAATCAAAGTGGTGTACACGCGTCAATGGATGAGGCAATGCGGCCTTATGCTCACGTGGCATGCGGTTCGATGCTCGACGAAATGGCCACAGCCAAGAGATTAGTGGAAACTGCGCGTTCGCGATATGAGCGGTGCTTTGTTCACTTTACTCTCAGGAATAATACGGATAGTTCCAATTTTCATATTTCACTGTCACAAAAGGTCACGCTAATGACGAAAATAGGTGCACATAATTGTGTATCCAGGTTCGGGTCATGAGCACTGTTCTGGCTACTGTTCGGGTCATGCGGAATTCGCGCATGACCCGAAGTGGGCTGCCGAGCCGCGCGCGGCCCCAGCTTTGGGTCAATGTGTAGGTGTTGTGCGACTGACGTGCACGGCTCACCCACAACCAATCACCTGGCTGCATGATTGTGGTGTTACTGCCATCTTTTTGTCGATCGGCAGTCGAGTGTCACACGTGGGCAATGTCCCACGTCTTACACCTCTGCACCCAACCACTCGGCAAATCGACCCCAAGTGTATCTAAAATTTCTCGCGTCGCCCTCCCAACATTTGGGAATTCGCTCCGGGAATTTTGGCGGTTGTGTTTTCTCAGTGAGTGTCGCGTGGTTTTGCGTGGGTCTCGCTAATGACCTTTCGAAATGTTCTGGCATCCCTCCATTGGATGCGACTGTGTCAGAGGTCCACTGGTGATCCCCGATCGATCCTAGGGAAGGGTTACAGGCATGTTGGCCTGGGGGGTTATGGGCGCACTCACCCGCTACACAAACAAGCCCTTTTATCCCAGTGGTTAGTGGCTGGGATTCTGACATGGTATCAGAGCGAAGGTCTCGGGTTCGAATCCCGGTGTATGCACCTCGGGCATCCCAGTGCGGGGGGGTGTCAGAGGTCCACTGGTGATCCCCGATCGATCCTAGGGAAGGGTTACAGGCATGTTGGCCTGGGGGGTTATGGGCGCACTCACCCGCTACACAAACAAGCCCTTTTATCCCAGTGGTTAGTGGCTGGGATTCTGACAGACTGTTGTGGGAAGCTGGATTTTTTCGCGAAAACCCTCGCGGCAATTTGTGGGTCGCATGACCCAAGCATGCGTTTTATGTTGTTTGGGTCATCCGCAAATCGCGCATGCCCGGAACAGTGCTCATGACCAGAACCTGGATACGCCCTTATAAGTGCTAGAACCAGACATCATGGTTGTTATGAATGAACTTGTCAGAGTGCGCAGAATATCGAATAACGAGAATGAGAATTACACAATAACGAAACAATGAAGTAGCGAGGCCTAAATAGGGGAAATCCTAGCTAGGCGAAGAGGTAGGGCGAAGATGGCTCGGTGATGGTTGCGATTGGTGCGGAGCCGACTCGGGAGTGGTTCGGTGCGACGAATTAGGCCGAACAGGTTCGTCGCGTGTCCTTCGGGATGTACTCGCTAAAGTGCGAGTACAGTAAGGAATTGTAATTCCTTACACTCTCCCACCTTCCAAATAAGGCAGCCCTGTACCGAAACAAGTCCCACACTAGCGAGGATATCGTAGATCTCCTCTTCAGCTGAATCCGACGGCTGAAATCCCTTGGGTGAATTTGAAAAAGAGGTTGGAGTTGAGGCCGTTGATGTTGTCAGATTTCGATCTGACGGTCGAGATGAACTAGCCCAAATGAATTGAAAGTTGGAATGTGGGTCATTGATGCAGCAGGTGTAGATCTGACGGTCGAGGCAGATGCGATTTTGGAGGGAACAGACTGACGTGAAATTCAATCGCGATCAATCTGGAGCAGTTGATCTTGTCGGTGTAATCGCGATCGTCCGTCGTGCTGACGCGACCTCACAAAGGTCAAGAAGAAAGCCGAGAAAACGCCAAGGAAAGAACAGTGCAGCGCACTTTCTCCCCCCCTCCAAGAAATGTACCACAGAAAAGTTTTGCAGTTGTGTTGAGAGGAAACAACAAAGACCGGGTGTTAAGTCCCACTGAAAACGAGTGGTGAGCGAACAGGTCCAGGTGAAATTGAGTCGGTGTGGAAAAGTTGATGACGAAACTACGTGTCACGTGCCCATAAAATCTTCCAGGGCGAACCCGTAGATGTAGACCAGAAACCGAGATGGAAAATCCATGTTACTCGAACTGAACAAGTTTGTCTTCGAGCGCCAGAATCATGCCATATCTTCAGCAGTTGCAGCTGGCAGCACCTGACGTGGCTGAAATTAACGTTGCACCTGACGTTGCAGTTTCAAACCTGTTTGTCGTGGGCGGGTCGAGTTGGGCGAATTGTCATTAGTAGAGTTGGAGCGGCTGTATCCCGAAATCCTCTGGCCGTAAAATCGGGGATGGTACGAAACTGTCGGCGATGAAGGCGATTGATGGCGAAGTCGAATACGATTGTCGGCGATGGTTGTCGAAACAGTAACCAATTTGAATGTCGCTCCGTGGAGAATTGTCGAAAACTTTATCAGGGTCAGATGACGCCAGCTACTCCCGGCAGTTTGTCCAGACTCGCCGAGGAGTTTGTCGTAATGAGCCGATGATTCCTGGGCAGAGATAAAAGTTAACAGCTGTCTCTCCCCCCTTCCACTGTTGCTGCCGCCTTCTTCAGTTCGTCGTAACTTCGTCGTACCCCTTGAAAACTCCGTGTAAATCTCGCGGTGT